ACGAAGTGTAATGGAATAGAAGTATGATAAGCGGCAAAGATCATGCGGGGGGGGGGAGGTTGAATGAGTTCAGCGTTTTAAGACAATATCTTGTCTGCAAGTGACAACAGACAGTGATTTTTTTTAACGATGTGTAGCTGACTATTGAATAGAGAATATCCGTTTCGGTATGTTCTCCATTAGGCTGGACACAGACACATGTATCCACAATAGACAAAGAAATGTTATTATCACCAAAATCAATGCTGTTTTGCATTACATTGAATCAATAATGTCGACAGTTTACATTTTGGAAAGCATCCGTAAATGATATAACACTGAATAATATAACACTGAATCGAATGGAAGTCAGATAAATTAAGAGAAATCATGGTGAGTGTGTGAATTTAGAGATTGCATAGAAGATAGGAATAGCAATGATGACTGGATGTGTTTGTTATGCACACACAGTTGCAGTTGTCTTAGGCGAATTCCAACGCTTTCTGCTGTTTGGAGTGTCTTGTATTTGGAGGTCTTCGGCAATTTATTCTGTACTCGACAGATTATAGAAAAGGCTTCTCCAATACAGACTGTCTGGCCTGTGTGCATGAGGTGTACTGATATTACAAGTATTCCTGGCTATCACGACACCTCTAGATATTCCTGAGAAGAAAGAATCAAGTCAAGTCTTCAGAGTAATGGCCGATTTGACTGGCTGTATAGGGTCACTTCACTTGATAGATATAAGGGGATGTCTTCAGCCTTAAATCTTTATCTTTCATTTCCGAATGACAGGTGATAGTGTGGAAAATATGAGTTCCAGCTTACTGGCATTAAACTTTCTTTGACTCAATTTATCAACTTCTCGGTTACTATTTCCCTTGGTATATTACCTTCAGATTTCAGTCGTATGTTCTATAGGGAATTTTTGTTAGGAGACGCAGACACATTCTTCACTACTATCCTGGTCATGTGTTTCGCGATGAATTGTTCAGGTTCGCTATCTTCAATTAGTGTACCACAAACAACACGTGATATATATACTCATAAATTAGGCATATTAGTCGACCGCTGTGGTGACATCACCTGAATTATTCCGCTGTAGGCAAGATCCACTCATGGTGGATATTTTCGCTTCATGATACACGCTCTCTTTAATCCAAGCATTTTACGTTTCACTTGATGCAATCATCACTGTTTTAGACAGAAAGAGTCAGTGATATGGGATGGTTCAGTAGGTTTAGATTCTCATCATGAATCTATAAGTTGAGGATTGTTGGTGACACTAGTAGCGGCCACATCTCGTAGTTTTTGTATTCAAACTCAACACTGGTTAAATTCTATGTCATTACCAGTAGTGAATTCACTATCTAACCAATATGTATGTGACTCAGTAAGGCTTCTGCACTCTTGTCCACTGAATACAGCTTAATACAATCTGTCCATCTATCTATCTGATCAATTTAGTCGGACCATGGAATCTGAGGATGTGTATGTTAAAACTAGAAAGCGAAGCCGATAACAAGGGTTGTAGCCATGCCTCAGATTGAGCATCGGTTAAAATAGGAATCAAAACACCAGGAGCATTCACAGGCAGTGTGAGGAGTGGGGGCGTTGAAGTTGTATTTCATCAATATTTACTTCACTCAGCTTCATGTATTCAGATTATGGGATCTGTGGAGATACGGATTGATTCAGTTTTGTGAGTTCGATCCCGTTATGAAACAAGACTGAATAGAGAAATCATTGAAAACCAGGATGTACCGGGTAGCTGTTTCTCCTATGTTAGGAGTGTTTCGCAATGGTAGCCCACGACGATACCACGCATCGATGTTGGGATCTTCAGGTTTCGACACTAAGCTATTTGACCTGTTATCCACACGCATCGGAATTCAGTGACTCGTGAGTTCCAACATTGTCAACTCACGATATAGCACCACCCTCTCTCATCAATGCCTTCGATGGACGGTTAATTTCACTTGATCACACCATTCACTCTACTGGCCACGACTTCTCAGCACAGCTTCCCGTAAACTATCCAGTAGCCGTCAGTGAGATTGAGACTGATATTTAGAACTATGTGTGGTCACCTGGTAATGCTAGATTCGACGTCTGGTGGGGTCATAGCTGCACACCGTTGAATAGTCGTAATACGACAGGAGACAGCTGTCCAACACTGCCTACATTTCAATGATCTCTCCAACTGGTGTTGGCTTGTGACGAAATCTAAAAATTGAGATTGAACTGATGTGTTTATTATTTTGACTACAGATGGCATTTAGCTGACGTGTATGACACCCTACCGGTGACTGCCTGTTCACTCTGATGAGAAGCAATCATATGGTATGCTACGTGACAGACTGACTGACTGTTTGCAACCTAGAAATTTGCTGAGAAATGCATCAGTTGACATTGTGATACTGCGATAGGTTTAGGCAATCGGAGACATGTCAGAGTAGTAAGTGAGTGAGAATGAACAGTAACACTGGAAGCCAATGTCGTTTCATTGTATATTGGAAATCACAGTGAGTGAGTGTATGCGAGTCAGTAAGAACGAGCTCGAGCCTCATGAGACAAACTGTCTCCAAATATTTGGATCCTAGAATCCTGAAGACCTCAACCAGACAGCAATCAACAATCTACAGTCCTATGTCAGCTAACACTGCCTCCTCAGCTGGACAAAGCAAGGTAATGGTTAGATATGCGTAGCACATGTCCTAGCCATCTCTACACCTAACCTCAATATTACTCACTGAATGTTTGAGTATGACAAATCAGAGATACCAATTGATTGAATGCACTGTGAATTGAACTCTTTATTCAGAGTTACCAACAACATCACTGTAATGTCCTTGTGATTAGACTTTAGCTGTCTTGTAATACCATGCAATACTACTTCTTACTCACTCACTACCATCGTCATCATCATCAACCTCATTAGTCGTAGTAGTCGGAGTAGTGGTAGTTGTAGACGTGACCTAATCACCTACTTCCTAATGACTACTTCAAAACAAAAACAACACCAAAAGAAAATATTTAAAAATGTGGAGGAAATAAAAAGAGATATAATTAATAAGAAAGCCTTGATAAAACTGTACAAAGGAGGTAGATACTAATGAGTGTGTTGCATTCCTTCAACACAACACAACGCAACACTACACTACACCGCACACTGAATAACATACAAGAGATGAAAGATGACTGAAGATCATGTGTGTGTGAAAAATAGATTAGAATAGAACAGAAAAGAATACCGTTGAGCTCCAAAGAGGTGGTTTCTACATGAAAACAAATCAATATTTGACTGACTAGAAGAATTAAACATTATGATGAAAAGAGTCAACCCACTTTTAAGTATACATGCGTAGTACTCCATGGCTGAGCTACTCTACTCTACTCACTGTGCAACAACTTCCTACCTATCACAGTATGTATCATGAGTGATATATACAGTGACTGATTGTCGTATAGCTGTCTGAGGTGTAGGGATATGAGAAATGTAGGATACAGTTGAATCATCTCATTTTCATATGGTTCTCTTCTTCATTTTGAGTAGGTGAATCGTAGTGTGTTCATTGTAGACATTTAAGACATCAACTTTAGTGCTAACTTCAATGTTAAGTAAGCTTTGGAGATTCTCCGACACACTCTGTTGTCATCTCTTCATTTCCCCGCCTCAGAAATGCATGACAAGAAATCTTCTTATCTTATTATAGCCTGACTCCACACACTATTTTTGATACAAGTATGGAATTTTCAGCATGTGATATCGGTAGCCCAAAATTTAGCAGGCCGAACATTGATACCAGGTGTGCGTCGGCCAGGAATTAAACTGCGGACCATTTTCATGGTCAGCAAGCGTCTCAACCGATGGACCACCAACAATATACGCAGAAGTTGATGGTTGGTATCAGAACCCTACTAGCTCATGCACTGAGCTAAAGACTGGTTGTGTTTCAAAAGCATCTCGTATATTAGCCTATTATGAAATGGCGACAGACACACCGTAGTGTCGGCGTAGAGCTGCTAAATGTGTAAATATGCTCATTTGATGGACAGCCAGACACGTATTGGAAGTTTGTTAGACAGTGTGAGTGTGTTTGTGGTGTCAAGCATAAAGGATGAAGAGAAACGCCTCTAACTCTTATATGCTTTACATTGTTTGTGAAGGCAAATCCATGTAGCCAGGCCATCTGAGAGTGCATCACGCTCCCAACATCGTCAGGTAGTCAAGCAAGTTGGTAGTACGTGTCTCAACCAAGTTTCGTTGGCTATGCAGTAGAACACTGAGATCGCTTTCCCGCCTTCACACCACAACAGAATAAGTTCAGTGGCCTCAGATAAATGAGTCAGTTATAGAAGGGGACGAAATGTTCCTGTGGGTTCAGAAGAGTATGACAGGGAACTTATCGGAGTGTGTGGACCGTCGAATCCAGTGAGAAGACGATGTCAGTAACAGCAACTATAGCTGATCAACCCCAGAATTCTCATGTGACGAGACGACCCCGTTTACTATTTAGTAACTCAGACGCTTATGTCCTACAACTGCCTTAATGTTTCAAGTGATGTGAACAGAAAACTGCAGTTGGGTTAACACCCAGCTAACATCCTCACTAACGCATCTGAGTTGAACCAACTCACACATCAACCAGATAATAGGATTGAAATATTTACTCGAAGATTAAGACACGTTTATTGATAATCTAGCGGCCGCCAGGTTCATGTGGACAGTGTTCAAGTAGATCATTTCCATCTGGACTACTGACCAGCACTACCAGTTCATTTGTGTTGTGTACTACTATTCACTTAAATGATTCACTCAGTGGCACATAATCTGATACCCTATGCTTCACAGACTATACTACGCAATGATGGTCCTCTACCAAAGTACATTTCACTTGATTTTAGTTTCTTAGTTAATCGATACTTTGATGTTCTTCACAGTTTGCTTTGATTACCTGGTTACCCGTCTGTTGACCGAACTCACTCAGCTTCACATTTATTTCAATTCATTTACACAGTACCACCTACTCTTCCGGCGATAAAAAAGAACGAAGATAATATTTTTGGTAAGCGACTTAACTTATACATTCTACAACTCTTGCATGTCTCTTGTCATACCTCACCACATCTGTTGAACCTCCAGTCTCATGCCATTCTCACTGTTCACTCATATGAAGCAATATAATCATTTTGATATAAATATGAGGCAGTCTGTGTCATCTGGAATAGATCTCTGTTATTTGATGATGGTTGGGATTGTTGCTTTAGTGTTTGAAACGACAGGTAGTGGCTTTGAGTTGAGTTCCGATAGGAACAGCATGACACACTGGCGAAGAAATATATCCAGACGTCAAATCGCTGACAGGAGGAGGTGCACATGCCTGATTGCACTGCTAGTCACCGCCACCACCGCAAAGAATAACTCTGAGTTAACATTTGATATCTTGAATAGCAAGTTTTGACCTTCTGACTTCGGTCTTATACTGACTGAGTGAGTTGCGACACAGAACTCAGCATAGAAGTGCAGAAGTTCAAATTAGCGCAGTCCACGCACCAAACTGAGAGGGGCAGAGGAGAGTGAAGAAGTGCTATGACAGAACTATAGTAGGTAGAGACGTGAGGGGGAAAGAATAGTAACACATGGAAATACAGGACGGTTTGATCAATATGGGAGTTGATAAAGAGTAAATAGATCCGTGCCACTGTGCCGTGTCACTGATAATCTCCAGTCATTGGTTTTAAGCATCCCTGGGATCGAAACGAGGCAGTCTACACCTTCCTACGTGGCTGAAACAGCGCCAGAAGGGCATGACAAGACATAAGGAGAAAAATTGTATGCAATGAAGTTGGAGCTGTGAAAGCACTTGGAGAGATAAAAGCAGACCAAGGAGAAACCAAATTAATACTTAACAATTCAACATATAAGGAAAACATGAATGATGATCATTGTTTGTAAACCACTGAAAAAAAATTATATTTCATTTGACCTATTCTATATTGCTGAAACATTTTACTGCCATTAATGGAAATTAACACAATTCCCACTAAATACCCAATCTATTTTCATAATTCATTTTAATATCATGCTTTCTGTACACATGTTTCAGATGTTGAAAGTATTATATCAAGTTATCTGGAAGACTGCTATCATACAGGTATATAAAAGCCAATAGGCTTATTGTTCAAACGAAATAGATTACAATATGCAAATGAAATGACTTGAAGATTTTCAAGAACTGGTTTGTAGAGATTCGATTGGTTACAAGTTTGTCAACTAGCTGACATCACTGAGAGAATCGTTGGAGCAGTGACTGGCAGTGTTGCCAGACAGCCAGAGAGCTGTTTCGTCAGTCTACTCTGGAACTCTCCAGTAGTATGCACCCACCACACGGTTCGAAGAAAACACCTCAGGGCGATCGTATATACCACTAAGCTCCTCTAGCCAGATCCGATGACCTATAAATCCTTACTTCCGTCAATTCACAATATCTTCAGCACAATCGCCTGCATATATCATAGGCGATTAACTCTTGTCTCACCTGACTTGATGAACTTGAAGCTAGTGGTCTCGGCCCCTCACTAGAAGTCCAGGTGACTTCCTGCATAGGCAGTCGCCAGTAGCCAGTGTGCATCAGGAGTTTAAATTCATGTGGTGGCTAATGAACGCTGTCCCACTGACTGAGTGGTCCATCAAATCACCATATAAACAGACGCTGGTGGGACGATACTCCTGTGGATACTTACTTCTACAGTCACACACCAACATGATGAAGCAGTTACCTAGCAATAATCCATACTGGTTTCCCAATGGTTCGTCAACCACCGATGTCAATTAGTGATTCAACCTATAGCCAATCAAATCCTAACACAGACAACACTTGAAGTCATATCACTTAAAGAATCTAAGGTGGAGATCTCCATCATTATTTCATATCATCTTTGGACAGAAATATGGCTAGTTTTCGTATCAAAACAGCTCGATTCTCTTCATATACTGACAATCCGTTTTAAGGGACGTGTAGCAAAACTACGGGGTAGACAAATGCTGAGTGAACTGATGATTATATGAGTGGGTGGTGCATTCAGCTATTCTTTGATATAACATTCACGTGTAGTCTGCGTCTGAATGATGATAATAATGAAAATAAGAAGAATAACCTCTGGAATTCCGAGTATTCACTGTTGACGTCAAAATTAGGAAAGTATTTCTCTTAATTAAGAGTACCTACGAATAGACAGCCACACGTTGAGAGTAAGAGAAAGCGAAAGAGAGAGAGACAGCCAAGTAGACGACTATCTCTTATATCATTATGAGTTTGAGGGAAGTCACTACTTTATATTATCAGTTTGATCATAGTAGGATGTTTCTACATATTGATCTTCATTCGTTCTATATGGTTCAAATACAGGCTCATGTCTCATCAGAGTCACTTCCAACAGGCTAGTTCAATCGTTCAATGGCTCAAATGCCTGCCATCTTTATTTCTTGGATACTGTAGACCAAAAGACGTTACAGATAGGATTGGAAACATGTTTTTAGACCGATAACTAGTCAACAATCTATTTATTACTCAATAAAATGATACGCAGGAGAGATGTAGATGAACTGTATATACACGAAGAAGACATTGGAGTAATGTAGAGGCTTCTTAGAGGAGGAACGGTGCCGATGAAGAACAGACTAGATGGAGGTCCGAGTGTCAGACAAGTTGAAGTTGTAGTCTGCATTCGTACAAGAATGTGTACCACATCCATTATAAAACAGCAAACAATGCTCAACATTCACCAAAGCAAAGGTGAAATATCATCTTGGAGAAGAAATCTTAATACCTGCTGGTCAGAGTCAAATAGAAATCTTCTGTCAAACAAACAAGAAGGTCAATTCATCAAATTTTGAAATGTCAGACGCTGGAATTTATGTACAAGGATTTGGATAGTGTCCCAGTGGCTGAATCGTCTACAAGCTCACTTTTTTAACCGGAAGGTTTAGATGGCGTACTGACGAATAGTCATGAACTAAGCCGACAAAACATCTGTTCAGTACTTCACAGTCATTCAGTAGTAGTTAGTTCTCTAACTGATGTCGGCTTGTGATGAAATGTTTAACGGATCAAACCCCGACATGTATGGCATCAGATAGATATGTTGGCTGATTGTGTAGATACCTCGACAATGTCTAATTATTTGACTTGAATTAAATTGGTGCATGGTGCTCACTAACAGTGGAATTCAGGATGAGTATTTAAAACTATGAATAGTGAATTCAAACCTCATTGGGAAGACCATCAGTCATTGAAGGGAGTGTAGGTACATCTGGATGACGAGTTGTAAACGGAACGAAATTCTCATTCTTGTGGATTCTACTGTTAATCCAAATCAACAATCTCCCTTTCTTGCTTGTTAAACGATTAATCTTGAGTAGCTTGAAATATGCTTGACTGATTGTCAAAAAATTTACATGCTAACGAACATGGCATGTTATATATATATATATATTAGTGTCATTACTCCGGAAATCTATTCGTACTACTAGACCATATATATCTTATATATTACGTTACCTGTGAAATCGATAAATGATGTGATGTGATGATAATAATGAATACTGCATTTCAGCTACTCTTTCCCCAGAAATTCATAAGTGATGCTCTTAGAAATTAAATCTGATTCACTTGTTGATGCCCTAATATTATTACTATTATCATTATTAATATTATTCTTGAAATACACTTCCATGCTAAATTTATCTGATAAATTTTCATACATTCAACAAAAGAATATACATCGGAAAAGAATAACATTCATATCGGTAAGTGAAATATTTTTATAACACTATAAACATGTTATATCGTGAATTGGTTCGAAGTTTGAATTCATGGGCTGGGCATAGGACACGGTCTCGTTGATTGAATGCTCTAAATGATCCATATAACCGGAAAGTGTTTACTTCGAACCGTGTTGAAGAGACACAAACTAGGCCGACGAAATAGCTGTCCAGCAGTACTGTCTGCTGATTTTTCAATGGTTCTCTAACCGATGACAGCCCACGTCAAAATCCTGTAACTAAAGTATTACATTGTTTCTTCTAAGCTACTGTGATTGACAAATGTCAGATGAAAAATAAAGCAAAATTAACTTCAAATAGATCCAAAATTCGTGAATCATTGTTAAATGATTGGCAAAGAAATCCAAAAGTAGGAGCAGCAGATCATGGAGCTAGTGATCGTGCGTAACTTCAATCGTCAGGATACAGCATTTATTTAGGTTAATCTGAACACATGACATTTATCAGTGGAAGAGTGCATCTGTACGCTGACTAACATCCCTTCTAAAACCGCAGTTCATTGAATTGAAACGCAGTATTAATCATACACTGCACAAAATTAACAATATATTCCATGCTTCCGTCAATAGACATAACATATAACATAGAGTTTTGCAATAGTTTGCGCCAAGAGAACACAGGCAAAACAAATTATCAAAGCCATTAAAATGACAATTCAGGAAAAAATAGCATTCATTCAACATACATTCAAACAATCCCATAAGATGGATGAAATGCGAATCGCATGTTCTTTAAAAATTCTGAATCCTCTATACTCGTACCAATACATTGAAATTGTGTAGTAACAATCACCCCAACAGAAGCGGAAGAAACCATAGAAGAGACAAGAAAACAAGAAGAACAACATGCCGAAAAAACTGATGGTAAGTGAATATGTAACAATAAAAATTGTTGACTTAAATTCTCCCCAAATTAATATATTATATGTACCGGTAAAAAAATTAAACAAACACCGCTTCAATATACCTCATACAACTGAAGCCACAACAACATAGAAGGAAAATAGTGCAGAAGGCCAACGCAAAAGAAAACAGGTAAAAAAAAGCATGGAGAAAAAAATTATTGCTAAGCCGAAATTCTCTCAATGAACCAATAATTCGCTGATAAACGAGTCTCATTTATTCCACGTCCTCTGTTTCCGCTTCACTTCTACAGACGAAGTCAAACCGACGGAGACCACAACAGAAGAAATAGTCGAGACGACAACTCATGGTAAGTCGACATTCTCCAATTCACCTCGTCCTCGTCAAGTCTATACACATGTAAACATCGCATAGCCACTCGCCAACAACTCCGCCACATCGAATTCCATCTCCATATCATTCTCTTTGTAAAGTCTTAAGCCATCAATCAATCAATCAATCAAACAATCAATCAGTCATTGAAACATCCAATCACCTTCGAGGTTCACCTGAACACATCAAATAAACTGTGTCGTAACACACGCACACACACAGTATGTCTGTGTTCTGATCAACACCTTTACTCAAATCACCGGAACTCACTAACAAAACAACCTAATATAACTACTACTGATACAACATTCAGCAAAATTATCATTCCATTGCATTCCATTGCACGCGTTTGGCTGTCTGTCGACAAATTGTAGTCACGTGAATCTTCATAATCCCTTATGCGAACAAACACATGCATTGAAATTATTCAATGATAGCAATCCAACCGAACGAAATCACAAACAACTCAAGAAAATACCATCACTCACTCACTCACTCACTCACTGAGCCCACTAACTATATCAACAACCAAATCCAATCCATACAACACGTGCATAAACCAACCATCAATGGAAGCGGAATGCTTCAAATCAACATTCTCCCACTCTAACCATACTTCGCTGATCTCTCTCTCACTCTCTCTGACTCTGTCTCCCCCGAACGTCCACATATTACTCCTCCTCCTCCAATCTTGTTTATTCCACGTCCTCTCTTTCCGCTTCACTTCTACAGACGAAGTCGAACCGACGGAGACCACAACAGAAGAAATAGTCGAGACGACAACTCATGGTAAGTCGACATTCTCCAATTCACCTCATCCTCTCCAATTCTCTACACATGTACATATCCCATAGCCACTCGTCAACAAGTCCGCTCCCTCCATCTCTATCTCATTCTCCTCCTCCAGTCTCATTTATTCCACGTTCTCTCCGTCTGATAACTGCTCACTTTTGCCGTGGTTGTTGGGCTTACATACCACAGTGACCCAACAAGCTAAACCGACTGGTACTCATGTCTCTGCTGGTCTTACGATGTTAGGAAGTGTTTTAGGATAACGGTTAAACTAAAACAGTTACCATGGGGTACATGGGCTTCAGTTTCCATTCGGATCAAATGGTGTATTAACCCATATGGGTCACTGTCAACCATGGGAATGCAGATCCTGACGCTGCTCCGCTGCCTTGCGGATTAGACTCCAGGTCATTGGCTCGGGGAGTGCTCTTCTAAGAAAACCACCTGCTTCGATCTGGGCACCCGGCCAGTATCTCAGCTCCCACACAATAAATCAAATGAAGCAACAAACTATCAGTGAAACTTATCACACGCTATTACACAATGATTTCAAGTAATATTGATGCCTCAGGTAACTTCTGTCCTTCCTTCCTTTTATTTTTATACGTAGTTACCTGTATTTTACCTGTGGTAAACTTGACTTCTTAACCTTCGACAGCCTTTCGCCTTTGTCGAGATTCCCAACCTATCTGTGTTGTTTCGAGATGTTAGTGAGTAATCCTCAAAATGGTTGTCCCCAATGTGACATCTAACACAGATATCCTGAAATCGCATGCCGCGTTCAGACTGGCCACCTACAATGTTCGGACGCTGATGCAAATCAGACAACAGGTAGGGTTGGTAAGGACCTTGGAAGGCCTCACTATCGATGTCTGCTGCATTTCGGAGACCCGAATTCAAGATCCCAGTGAAGTCATTCGACTATCCTCTCCATCTGGAAGTTCTAGCAGTATGTACCACCTGCGCTTATCCGGGGACCCTGTGGTGTCGGCATCCGGCGTAGCTGGTGTCAGTGTTGCACTGAGCCCTAGAGCCGAATCTGCATGGCTCGACTGGATTCCTATTAACAGTCGTTTATGTGCTGTGAGACTGGAAGGTTATGCGAAAGTAAGGAGTAGTAGGCCAGATAGGTGGTGTCTATTTGTTGTCTCTGCCTATGCACCGACGGATTTCAGCCCGGATGCAATGAAGGATGAGTTCTACTACCACCTGAGCGATCTCTTGAAACAGGCGGGTTGGAGGGATATCGTAGTGCTGGCTGGGGACTTGAATGCACAGGTAGGGCGTCTAAGCTCAGAGGAGAATCGTCTAGGTGGTCAGTGAGGACTACATGGTCGCAGGTAAGATAATGGGGACCGTCTTCTGCAGCTTTGCGCGGAGCAAAACCTATTTCTAGCCAGCACCAACTTCCGGCACAGCCATAGCCGTAGCGCTACCTGGCGTCCTCCCTCTGCGAAGCAAGCTTGGACTCAGATTGATCATATTGCTGTCAGTTTCCGGCGGCGAGGATGCACACAAGACTGTCGCTCCTTCTACAGCACATGCCTGGACTCGGATCATGTGTTAGTGTGTGCCAAGTTCGTCTTGGGATTTGGTGGCATTCATAAAAACCGTCGTCTAAACGTTGATGTGTGCATTTTAGTAGCACCTGCTACTTCTTTGAAATATCAGAATGAGTTACAATCCGGCTGGCAGCGAATACAACAATCAGTGAAAGGCGCTCACGCGCAAGATTAGACAGTGTTTACGTAAGGACCGCGAAGTCTGGTGGTCAGAACATACGTGTGAGATGGAGTCAGCTGCTGCATCTGGCAACAGTGGGAAACTGTTCTAACTCATCCGAGCCACCGGCAGCAAGAAACAAGGTGTCAGCGAGACGGTCTGTGAGGCAGATAGCACGCCAGTTACCACCTTGAAAAGACACCTCGAACGCTGGGCAGAGCACTTCGGGAAACAATTTGGCTGGCCACCAGCTTCACTGTCTGCTGTCATTAGCCCGAGTGCTCCTTGGTCGGTTAGTGCCGACCCGCGCATCGAAGCGGAGGTCCGTAAGGAACTCCAAGTGTTAAAACGCCATAAGGAGCCCGGCCCAGACAAATTACCCCAGGCTCTTTTTAAAGATGGTGGCGAGACTCTCACAATGGCTCTAACTGGGTTGTTCAGAAAGGTGTGGGAGACAGAGAGTGTATCATCAATGTGGAACGAAGCCATTATCGTCCCCATCTTTAAAAAGGGTCGACGTAATTCGTGTGACAATCATAGGGGTATCAGTCTGTTACCAGTCGCGTCTAAAATATTGGCTGCTGTCTTGCTTCGCAGACTGTGCAAAATACGTGAAGGATTGATTCGCGAAGAGCAGGCTGGGTTTCGTTCAGGTCGTGGATGCATTGATCATGTGTTCACCCTTCGTCAGTTGTTGGAACACCGCCACACGTATTGCAGGCCAACGATCGTTGTGTTTCTTGATATTAGGGCTGCCTTCGATTCGTTGGACAGAACTGTGCTCTGGAACTGTCTGTTAGAGAGAGGTGTACCTGAGAAATTTGTTAACATCTTGAAAGCCCTATACAGAAACACCTCAGGTAGAGTGAGGGCATACAACCAACTATCACCACTGTTCCCAACCAACAGTGGGGTTAGACAGGGTTGCCCAATCTCCTCATTTCTCTTTAACTTTGCCATCGATGACATTCTGGAGTCAGCTCTGAAGGATGTGCGTGAAGGTGGTGTAGATCTGCTACCTGGAGATAGACTTTTCGACCTCGAGTATGCAGACGATATCGTCTTACTGTGCGATAGCATGCAGGCTGCCCAAATCGCACTTAATCAGTTGGCGATCAGTGTCTGTAAGTATGGTATGTGCTTTGCGCCGTCTAAGTGCAAAGTACTGTTACAAGATTGGCAGGAGCCTGTACCTGCACTCACTCTTGCTTAAGATAAACCGCTTGAAGTTTTAGATAAGTTTGTGTACCTGGGTAGTTGTGTGTGTGCTGGCGGGGGGTGACGGATGAGATTTCCAACCGTATAATGAAGGCTAGGGTGGCATACATCAACTTGAGCCACCTATGGCGCCGTCGCGACGTTAGCCTGGCTGTCAAAGGTCGGGTATACAATGCTTCGGTGCGAGGTGCCCTGCTCTACGCCTGTGAAACCTGGCCTCTCCGAGCTGAGGATGTGCGGCGACTCTGTGTGTTCGATCACCGCTGTCTCCGCAGGATTGCTTGCGTTCGATGGCATCATCGCGTGAGTAATTCTGAGGTTCGGCGGCGTGTGTTTGAATACAGTGGAGATCACCATTCATTAAGTGTCGTCATCTGGAAACACCGGCTTCGGTGGCTTGGACATGTGCTGCGAATGTCATCCTAAAGGCTTCCGTACAGGTCTCTGTTCGCTAGCCCTGGGACGCGATGGAAAAGGCGGAGAGCTGGTCAGTCCATGACGTGGCGTCGTGAGATGAAGGATTTTTGTGCTAGATTAGCATCGGTTGGTGCGTCATGACTCCCCGATTGGGGTCCGTGAAATACCTCGAATCGATGGCTCGAAACGTTATCGGATATGGCCAAGAACCGCAGTCATCAATGGTGGATATGTTGCAATTTCCTTCTTTTTTCCCTTCCCGATGATAGTTAATGAATACTGTTTGAACTTGTTAAAAACATGAGTGTTTTCCTTCCAGATGAAGTTCTTTATCCGTTCTTTGCTTATATATATATCTTCTTTCCTTTTTTCTTTTCATCTATGTTGTTTTGTTATTATTGTGTGGCGTATCCTTCTTGGTGCCATATTGTACGAAGTTTTAATGCGTTCAAATAAATAAATAAAAATAAATAAATAAATCTCTTTCCGCTTCACTTCTTTAGCGACAGTCGCACCAACGGAGACCACAACAGAAGAAATAGTCGAGACAACAACTCATGGTAAGTCGACATTCTCCAACTCACCTCATCCTCTCCAAGTCTCTACACATGTACACATCGCAAAGCCCCTCGTCAACAATTCCGCTCTATCTCCATCTCATTCCCTCTGTACAACCTTAACCAATCAATGAGTCAATCACCTTCGAGATTCACCTGAACACATCAAATAAACTCTGTCGTGTCACATGCACACACACATAGAATGACTGTGTTCCGATCAACACCTTTTCTCAAATCACCGGAACTCACTAACAAAACAACACAATATAACTACTACTGATACAACTTTCAACAAAATTATCATTCCATTGCATTCCATTGCACGCGTTTGGCTGTCTGTCGACGAATTGTAGTCACGTGAATCTTCATAATCCCTTATGCGAACAAACACATGCATTGAAATTATTCAATGATAGCAATCCAACCGAACAAAATCACAAACAACTCAAGAAAATACCATCACTCACTCACTCACTCACTCTCTCACTCACTGAGCCCACTAACTATATCAACAACCAAATCCAGTCCATACAACACGTGCATAAACCAACCATCAATGGAAGCGGAATGCTTCAAATCAACATTCTCCCACTCTAACCATACTTCGCTGATCTCTCTCTCACTCTCTCTGACTCTGTCTCCCCCGAACGTCCACATATTACTCCTCCTCCTCCAATCTTGTTTATTCCACGTCCTCTCTTTCCGCTTCACTTCTACAGACGAAGTCGAACCGACGGAGACCACAACAGAAGAAATAGTCGAGACAACATCTCATCGTAAGTCGACATTCTGCCACTTATTTCCTTCTTTTTAAATCCATGCATTATCCCATATCTTTGCACCTAAGTTTTTCGAATTGTTGTTGTTAACGTTGCTCCCTTATTCTCTTACAATCATAGTGACTACCTCCAAACCCTCAAAAGAAGATGTTGGAGATTTTGTAGCTGATGGTAAGTCAACATTCTATCTCTCATCTCTTATATCATTCTTTATATTTTGTTTTGATCCAAATGCGGCGAAAAGCATCCTTCTCTACACTATTCTATACTTGCTTGAGTGACGCACAGCCGCAAACTACCCAGGTATCAGAAAAATAACATTTATTTGTGATGACAATTTGTGCTAATATCTTAGATTGGTAATAGATACAATAGTCAAAGTTGTCTCAACAATACTAATCAGCATTTATACAGATCAGAGAATTCTCCAGTATAAAAGAGTTACTTTAGAACAAAATTAGTTAAGTGAATTTCGACTATGACAAATATGGGAATAAATCAATTAGAATATTTTCCCAACTAGATGGAAGCGAATCTCCATCAGCAAGATTCACGCATGGAAAACTTCCTGAAGAATCAGGAATTGACGTCTCTTCACACTTTTAGGAATTGATGTCGCACACAAACCGACAAAATCACTTCACTCAGCTGGCTCTGTGTCAACCAGAAGACTCAACAGCGAAAGAAGATAAAACCAACATCATCTGCAAAATAAATTGTAACAGCTGCGAAAAACACTACATTGGCCAAAGTGGACGTCTTCTTCTTCTTCTTCGTATCCATGATCATAAGCTAGCCGTCAAAAGACATGACATCCACTCCCTCATATCACTCGCTGTATTCAGACAACCATGGACATCAGTTCGACTGGGACAACCAACGCTCAAATATGAGACAAAGGAAACACCAAGAATGCTAGAGAATTTTTAGAAGCTTGGCATTCCAGTGAATCATCATCATACAACAGACACATCGAGATAGACAAAATTTATCAACCGATAAGAACGAAACCTAACACACTTAGACTCAAAGTTCAAGTCAAAGAAACAACCAGTTGCAATACAAGTCACCTAGAAGGTGTGAAGACACACAAAAACGATCAATCACGTCCAAGGTCACCAGGAGAGAGGACTAATGGTGAACTCGTGGAGAGATCCAAAAGCTCACTTCGAATTGAAGTATGTGCTGAAGATGTCGCCTAGTGTGGCGATGAAACTTCGCAGAATGACTATCCACCTCAGAGAACACAACCACATCAGAATTCATATATCTCTGTACTGTGAAATACTGTCATCTCAGAAAAGCCCTAAGTACTGCATCAAACCACATGACTGTATGCACTAAAACCGCTCCCGTATTAAACAGTCATCAGACTCCTTCATAAATTGAATAAATACGTAAATATAGAGAAAGAGGGACTGATTTTATTAATCCATTTGTGAATTGACAAACAAATATGCCACACTAACAGCTATTTATACCAAGAGGAGTAATCTATTTCAATATGTACATCACATGCTGGAAACTGAGTTGGTCCTCACCGTTACAGTTAACACGATCTCTTGTCGTCTATTCATTTCTCCTCTCATAACTGCTTGAAACGGAATGACAATGTAGAGAGAGTGAAAAGCTGTCTGCCTCACACACTTCTCCAGAAATTTCTCTGACACACATTTTAATTGAAAAGTTGTTTTACATTTTCTAGGAATATTTGGACCGGATTTCATCATTGAGGAATGTAAGTTGTGTGATTTATCGTAAAATTCCACGAATTATAATAACGATATATAATTACATGGGCGAATTAGTCCTCAGTGTTCATTGAAATCACTTCTCCTTTTCTCTCTGAATGTCAGTCTTAGAGTAATGTCTCACGAGATTAGAGAAATATTGAACAAAACTAGAAAAGCAAGTGTAAACTGAAATCTTGAGAAGCAACCCAGTTAGTTTTTGTCTACTTCAATGGCCAGCTAAACAGTCGTGGTGGCGGAAATAGAGGGAAGATTGAGGATGAGGCTAGACACCTCGCCCATAAAAAATCAACCCAATCACTGAAGCAAATTAAACTAACATAAAAATATAAATAATCAACCAATTCTCCTCTGCAATCAGACAGTCATAAAGAAGCAGGTGTCTCAGTTCGATGAGGTCGAAACCAAACACACTAACAGGCAATGTTTGCACGATGTTCAAAACTGGCTGGTAGGACTCCACAGGTTGAAAAAGAATGTAGACGATACTGTACAAAAGTGGTGGGATTCTGTGAGAGCAGATGGAATGGAATCAGTATCTGAGAAGCGTTAACTGGAGCGGGAATTTTCTACTCCGATTACTCAGATGATAACCAGGAGCACACTGAGTGGGTGGCTTCCATACTGTAACCGACAGAAGTCATAATGAATGCAGCCCTGTTTTTCTCTCGTACCCTCAGCTGATAACAATTGTAATCAGCGGATTATAATCATAATGATAGTAGTGAAGTCCTGGAAAAATGACAGCAGGGAGAAGTTGTCCAGAAAACAGTATTCACACACCCATCTCACATCACCAGCTACCAAGTCAAATTAGAGTTCTGCATTTACACAGTGACAAGTATCAAAGCTACCAGTCACAACAACATACAATACTCATCATTCACCAACTCAGACATAAAGTGCTAAGATGGAGACGAATTCTGCATGACAGTCAGGCACGTGATAGTCTAATTTAAGCTTTTTCGAGAATGATGGTTGGAAAAAGCAACACATGTTGTTAATAACGTAGGATCTAATGAATTCATCAAAATTCAGTGGAAGTCTTCGAGAATTGATGGATCCAGTATATCCTGCTTTATTAACAACATATGTTGCTAGTCTCAATTTCGTATCAGGAAATGAGTGTTTCCAGCTTCCGAAGATGTACCTAGTGGAAATCACCTTCACGGCTGTTGTATACAACTTTGTCAGACGTAGGTAGACACATTCACGTGATATCCCCTCACATCTCTGTCTCCCTCTATCTCTCAAATACATTCGGAAAACAATCGACTTCAAGTAGCCTGAAATGCCCAGTACTACCTGTCAATAATGTACACGTCAACGAACATGGCACATGACATATCATCAGAGACGTTGATTCTAAAATACGTCTGTGTCACTCAACAACAACAACAGCAACAGCAACTAAAATACACCATAAACTATGTTACCTATGAGAGTGACAAGTGCCGTGATGTGACGCGATGTTGAGGATGGTTGTAATTATGAATACTTCATTTTCAGCTATTCTGTTACCGGAAATCAGTAAGTCTTACTTTCAGATAATCAGATCGATTTGTTCATGTCTAAATATCATTGCTATCAGTATCCTTGGATTTCGAACGGAGTGAAGTCATCGAGTGGCGCAGTTTCCATGGTGGAGAGATGTAGGCCACTGAACAATGGTGTCAGTAAGTATGTGAAATATGAGAATGGAGATCTGTGTTAATAGGAAATAGTGGCCAGCAATTTTGTGGTAGTTTTGGAGTCAGTGGCAGTGGGCAGTCACTGGATATACGACCGACACGCTCACACGTCCAGTATCGTATGCATCCAGTTTTGCCTGCCTTCTCCACCAATGTCTTTCATGAAGTAAATTTTACGAAGTGAAGTGAGTGAAAGAAGAAGATTGGTGCAAAGCACCGACTTCTCAGCGTGAAGTGAAGTTTCTTCATGGTCAGGCGATGGGTGGTCGCAGGACCCTACTAACTCATGCACTGAGATAAAGAGTGGTTGTGTCTCGAAAGGATCTCATTGTTAGGTTATTATGACAAAGCGAAAGATGCAGCAATGTCATCCCTCAGTGTTGGCGTAGAGCTGTCGAATGTGTAAATATGCTCATTTGATGGACATCTAGACACATATTGGAAGTTTGTTAGATAGTTTGAGTGTGCTTGTGATGTCAAGCGTAAAGGATGGAGGGGAGCGCCTTTTACTCTTATATGCCTCACATTGTTTGTGAAGGAAGATTCACTCAGGGAGGCCATCTGAGAGTGCATCACGCTCCCACCTTCGTCGGGTACTCAAGAATCGCCTGATCTACTGACGACTGTTTTCGGAAGTAGACATGAAGTGAGCAGGTCGCCACCTCGTGAGTTGATGGAATAGCGGAAGACGAAAAACGGTGATGCTGAAGCCATATGGAGACTCACTATGAATATTGAGAACAGCCATACTGCTCTTGAGAAGATGAATCAGTTATTCGGCAGATTTTACCCTCATGAGTTGTCTGAAATCAATAGTGAGAAACTATGCGCTATTTTGCAAATGAAATGGGTAGACACACACTGGAAGGTGTTCCATAGTCGGTCGTGAACCGACATTTTCTGAGTTGGCTCAGCTTGTATCTTCTCACCCAACTATTTTATCTAGAAAGCTTGTTCAACCGTGCGCAAGAAAGTGACAGAAAACTGGTGAGGTATCTTCCTTTTGGAAACGTTCGTGATAGAGCGTATCTCAACTAGGTTTCGTCGGTTATGCAGTAGAACACAGAGATCACTTCCTCGCCTTCACACCACAACAGAATAAGTTCGGTGGTTACAGATAAATGATTCAGTTATAGAAGATAATGGTTACTCGGGAACATAGTCACAGTCCCCTTCTCCAAATTGACAAGCTATTTCACAGATACTATTCACGGATGTGTTGTGTCCACACTGGCAGTTGTTGTCCACCCCTTTTTGAAGAGTCGTCGAAAGAGGACGAGATGTTGCTGTGAATTCCGAAGAATAAAACAGGGATGTTGTCAGAGCGGGTGGACCGTGGAACGCAGTGAGAAGACGATGTGAGTAACAGCACAACTATAATTTCATTGGAACATGAAGGGTATATTTTCAATAAAGATGTTGATAGAAATGGAAGTTATGTACAATGTGTCCATTGTTAATATTCACCAAACCGCGTATAGATGTATTGCTCACGATTGTAGATTACCGCTGAGACACAAGGAGTACAAGGAGTTCTTTGACTATTTGGTTACTGAGACCCTTATGTCTTACAACTGCCCTAATGTTTCAAGTGATCTGAACAGAAAACTGCAGTCGGGTCTGTTCACGTCTGACATACTCAATAACGCATCTGAGTTGAACCGACACACATACCAACACTCACGCATACCAAATATCGCATCAACCAGAATCTAGGATTCAAATCTTTACTCGAAGATGAAGACATGTTTGTTGATAATCTCGAGGCTGCAGTGTTTATGTGGACAGTGTTCAAGTAGATCATTTCCATCCGGACGACTGGCCAGCACTGCCAGTTCGTGTGTGTTGTGTACTACTATTCACTTAAATGACTCACTCAGTGGTACATAACTTGACAACCTATACTTCATAGATTAATACGCAATGATGCTCCTCTTCCAAAGAATATTTCACTTGATTTCAGTTTCTTAGTTAATCGATATTTTGATGTTCTTCACAGTTTGCTTTGAACATGTGGTCACCCACCTGTTGACCGATCAATTTAAACTTACTCATCTTCACATTTTTTTCAATCCATTTACACAGTACCACCTACTCTTCCGGCGATAAAAAAGAACGAAGATAATATTTTCGGTAAACGACTATCTTTATACATACTAAAATTCATGCATGTCTCTTCTCATACCTCACCGCATCTGTTGAACCTCCAGTTTCATGCCATTGTCACTGGACACTTACATGAAGTGACAACATCATTTTGATATAAATATGAGGCAGTCTGTGTCATCTGGAATAGATCTCTGTTTTATGATGATGGTTGGTGTTGTTGCTTCAGTGTTTGAAACAACAGGTACTGGGTTCGAGCCAAGTTTCTGTGGGAACAGCATAACGCACTGGCGAACACATACATTTACATGACAAATCCCTGACTGGAGGAGGTGAACTTGCTTGATTCCACTTCTAGTCACCGTCACCAACGCAGAGAATAACTCTGAATTACCATTTGATATCTTCAATAGCAAGTTGTGATCTGATCATTTTGATCTCATTCTAACTGAGTGAGTTGCAACATAGAATTCAGCACAGAAGTGTAGAAGTTCAAATCGCCACAGTTCACACACCAAACTGAGACAGGCAGAGGAGAGTGAAGAAGTGCTGTGAAAGAACTATAGTAGGCAGAGCTGTGAGAGGGAAAGAATGATAACACATGGAAATACATGAGGCCCGCATCCTATTTCCTGCCGACACACTCTGAATACTCATCAAGTTCACAAGCGAGATGGTAAGTTGGAAAATAAGAGATGGTTGAGTGTGAATGTGGCAACTCAGATCGTATTTAGATAACACTACTGCGATTGCAAAATCTTCACAACATGGAGCTTTGTATTCCACTGGGAACACAACAATTGAGGCAGAGGCCGAGGCAGAAGGAGAAGATACATTTGTGAAAGAAGCGAAAATTATTCTTCCCCTTAGAATACATGAACTTCACACAATTCACAGTAAAAGTATAATCTATTTTCATTACTCACTTGTAATATCATGCTTTCTGTACACATGTTTCAGATGTTGAAAGTATTATATCAAGTTATCTGGAAGACTGCTATCATACAAGTAAGTGAAAGGCAATGTGCTTATTGTTTAAGCGAAATAGATTTCAATATGCAAATGAAATAACTTGAAGATTTTCAAAGACTGGTTTCCAGGGATTCGATTGGTTACAAGTTTGAAAACTAGCTGACATCACTGAGAGAACCGTTGGAGCAATGGCTGGCAGTGTTGCCAGACAGCCAGACAGCTGTTTCGTCAGTCTACTCTGGAACTCTCCAGTAGTATTTACCCACCACACGGTTCGAAGAAAACACCTTCAGGTTGGTTGCAGGGCCATCGTGGAAACCACTCAGCTCCTGTGACCTGATGTGATGGCCAGTGAATTCTAACTTCCGTCAATTCACAACATCTGCAGCACAATCGCCTGCCTATATCATAGGTGATTAACACTTGTCTCACCTGACTTGATGAACTTAAAGCTAGTGGTCTTGATCCCTCACTAGAAGTCCAGGTGACTTCCTGCATAGGCAGTCGCCAGTAGCCAGTGTGCATCAGAAGTTAGAATTCATGTACTGGCCATTGAACGCCGTCCCAGTGACTGATTGGTCCATCAACTCACCATGTAAACAGAAGGTGGTGGGATAAAACTCCTGCGGATACTTACTTCTGCAGAGTCATACACCAGAATGAAGAAACAGTTACCTCGCAGTAATCCATGCTGAATTCCCAATGGTTCATTAACCATCGATGTCAGTTAGTGAATCAACCTTCAACCAATCGAATCCTAACACAAACAATACTTGAAGTCACATCAGTTGGAGAATTCCAGCTAGACATCTCCATCATTATTTCATATCATCTCCTCCACATTGTGTATCCGACACTGGACAGAAATGTGGCTAGTTTTCCCCAACAAAACAGCTCGATTCTCTTCATATACTGACAATCCGTTTTAACAGACGTGTAGCAAAACTATGAGGTAGACAAATATTAACTGAACTCATAATTAAATGTGTGCGTGGTGCATTCAGCTCATCTTTGATATAACATTCACGTGTAGTCTGTGTCTGAATAATGATAATAATAATAATAATGAGAATAAGAAGAATAACCTCCGGAATTCCGAGTATTCACTTTTGTAGTCGAAATTCGGAAAGTATTTCTCTTAATTAAGAGTAGCTACGAACAGACAGTCACACGTATGAAGTAAGAGAGAGAGCGAAAGAGGATGAGGCAATTAGACGACTATCTCTCATATCATTATGAGTATTGATAAGAAGAGGAATATCTCTGAAATTCAGAGTATTCACTGTTGACGTCGAAATACGCAAACTAATTACATTAATTAAATGACGCCAGGAATATACAGATACAAGTAGAGAGAGGCAACAACAGATATTGCTCTATCGGAAAAAACAAACACAGACAAGCAAATAATAGAAACATAATAAAAACAGCAAAGAAGAATAGGATATACACTTAATTTAGAAAGTCTTTAATATAAATACACTCTGGACAGAGACTAGTCACGTGAATCTTCATAATCCCTTCTGCGAACTTCGCTGATGTTTCTCTCCACGTGTACATATTACTCCTTCTCCCCCAGTATCATTTATTCCATGTCCTCTCTTTCCACTTCACTTCTACAGCGACAGTCACACCGATTGAGATCACAACAGAAGAAATGGTCGAGATGACATCTAAAGGTAAGTCGATATTCTCCCATTCACATCGTTCTTTTTATATCTCTGCATAACCTCGGATTTCCACACTTTCATTTTTCCAATGTTTCTTTTTACCTTCCTTTTATCTCGTATCGCACAATTATAGCCAGCAAGTCGAAATACACAAAAGAAGATATAGATGGTTATGTAGCTGATGGTAAGTCAACATTCTACCACTCATCTCCTTTGGTGACTTTAATCTTCCTGTTTTGGTCCAAAGGCGGAGAAGAGCATGTTTCTCCACACTAATCAAAACTTCTTTGAGTGAGGCACAGTCGTAAAATGGCCAGATATCAGAAGGATAACATTTATTTGTGATGACGTTTTTGATGATATCTTAGAGTGGTAACATATGCAATATTCAAGTACTGGTTTTATTTGTAAGGATTTTATTTGATTGTATGGAGGATTTCGTCATGAACTGACATTAGTTAGGGTTTCGGACTCTTCACCAGTACGCACCCACATACGAAATCTTCCATACAATCGAACAAAATCCTTACAAAACCAATACTTGAAAATTAATCTGATGCTAACTAGCGACTGGCCCTATCCAGGCAGTTAACCTTGGATTCTAGTGGAAAGCCATGACCAGTAGGGTAGAGCAGGTTGAAGATGAGGCAGAAACACATCGAAGAAGACATTGCAAAATGGTCGCGCTGTGTCATGAATTGGCAGAAGCTAGAATCCAAGATCCATTGGATCAAGTCCCATTGGCTCAATAGTCTACAGGCTCGCCTTGTAACCAGAAGGTTCTGGCTTTCATCCCCGGTGGGTGCGTACTCATGAAGAGTTCCAAATTAGGTTGAAGAAAATAGCTGTCCAGTACTCTCATGTTTTCCAGTGGTTCTCTAACTGATGTCAGCTCATGACGAAATCCTGCATATAATCAAACATATGTACATTATAATGACTTTTTAAGATACTATCATCTTAAAATCAAAACTCTGCCTTACTAAAATATTCTGCCAATACGTCACAGTCGGCTACTGAAACGACCAGTATCTGCTGCAGCTGAAGAAACAGTGAATGCTAAAGTGTACAGCATTGCAGTGTATAGTATCAGCGCTGCCATGATACAGCTTTATTGTTAAACAAGAAATTAATCATGATAGGAGAAGAGTAAGCGCACCATGTTTTGAATGCTGAGACTGTACGATACAGATTTTTGAAAAGGCTTATTATAATCAATCCTAAACGGAAGGATCAACAACGTGTTGATATCAATAATACAACGACTAGTTAGTTAATTATTCTAGGCACTATGATTCACACAGACGATTGGCGAGAGGATATTCTCAAGCATATTCATCATTAAGTCAATCATTCTTCTGAGTAAGTGAATTCTCTCAGTGAAACTCATAAAAATTCTATTGAAGGATTCCAGGCCAATCTTAATAGGCGTAATAAAATGGTAAAAAGGTTCTCGATATGATATGATATGATATAAAGTCAATGAGATAAACATTTACATAGATATTGATTTGATGTGTCTATAGACACCCTTATGAGAAACTGAGGGAGAGTTTTGCGTTATCTTAGAGATATGTACCCTGTATAATTCATTTCTTATTACATATCTCAAAAACATAAACTCTTACATAACAGATGCCAATTTCCACCTAAACGAAGGATCATTTGTCTCTGTAGTTCACTCTCTACTGTTGTCTCCTAACCCTCAGTTCTTCCTTGGTATAACTTCGTGCAAACCTCAATCATCTATAACACTCAATAACATAGTTGAATTATAAGTTAGTCGTATCATTTCCTCTTCATTAACCCCCAACCAAAACAACAATAACTGAACACCATAAGGCCAATTCATATATCTTCATACTATGTAATACTATCATCTCAGACAAGCGCTAAGGATTGCATTTAACCCCATGACTGTATGCACTAAAACCGCTCCCTTACCATACGGATATCCGACTCATCTGTGAATTGAAAAAATACGTATAAATATATATATATATATATATATATATATATATATATACAGAGAGAGAGAAAGGGGGACTGAATTCATCAATCCATGTGAAATGACAAATAAACATCCCACACTAACAGCTATTTATACCAAGAGGAGTAATCTATTTCAATATGTATTTCACATGAGGGAAACTCCGAAGGTCCTACAGATTACAGATAACACACTCTCTCGTCGTCCATTCATAACTCCTCAAAAAATTGCTTGACACAAAATGACAATATAGAGACAGTGAAGAGCTGTCTCCCCGAAAAATTCTCTAAAAACCATACTGAAAAATATATAAATACATAATGACAAATTATTTTCCAAATTCTAGGAGTAATTGAAACCAAGAAAGCAACAAAAAAAGGTGAGTAGATGAAATAAAGAAAAACTTATAAAAAGAAAAATTACCAGATATGAAAAAATCAGACGACTAGATAAAAAGATCATTGAAAATATTACCGAAAAAGAAACACCACAAAATATCACTAAAAAAACAAGATAAGAAAAAAAAACTATATCAAAAATGCTAAAAAAATACCATCACCATAACCGGTGCATAAAAAAAATCAACGAAAGCTGAAAGCTCCAAATCAATATTCGCCCATTCATACCAACTTCTCTTCATATCCGAAAATCTAACACACATTCTCTCTGTATCTGTTATTCCATCAAGTTGCAAGAACACATAATATCCCTCCTACTCCGCCACCTCCTGCAGTCTCATTTATTCCACATCCTCTCTTTCCGCTTCACTCCTACAGACGAAGTCAAACCGACCGAGACCACAACAGAAGAAATAATCCAGACGACAACTGATGGTAAGTCAACGTTTTCAAATTCACTTCCTCCACTTCAATTCTTTACACCTGTGCACATCGCGTAGCCGCTCGTCAACAAGTCCGCCCTCTCTATCTACATCTATTTCTCTAGGTAACGACTTAAGCCATCAATCAATTTATCGACCAATCAATCAATCAATCAATCAACAAATCGATGAATCAATCACCTTCGAGGTTCATCTCCACACATGAAGTAAATTCTGTTCTAACACACACACACACGCACACACACACACATAGAATGTCTGTGTTCCGATCAACACCTCTTCTCAAATCGCCGGAACTCACTAACAAAACAACACAATATAACTACTACTGATACAACATTTAACAAAATCACCATTGCATTGCATTGCATTCCACGCGTCAGTCGGTCGAACAAGTCTACTCACGTGAATCCTAATAATCCCTTATGCAAACAAACACATGCATGCAAATCATTTATTAGTACTTATCAAGCCGAACGAAATCACAAACAACTCAAGAAAATACCACCACTCACTCACACACAAACTGACACACTCACTCATTCACTATACCCACTCACTATATCAACATTCCACTCCAATCCATACAACAGGTGCATGAACCAACAATCAATGTAAGCTGAATGCTTCAAATCAACATTCTCCCACTCATCCCATCCTTCGCTGATCTCCCTCTCTCTCTCTTAATTTCTCTCTGTCTCTGTCACTCCCTGCACGTCCACATATTACTCCTCCTACTCCGCCGCCTCCTGCAGTCTCATTTATTCCACGTCCTCTCTTTCCGCTTCACTCCTACAGACGAAGTCAAACCGACCGAGACCACAACAGAAGAAATAATCCAGACGACAACTGATGGTAAGTCAACGTTTTCAAATTCACTTCCTCCACTTCAATTCTTTACACCTGTGCACATCGCGTAGCCGCTCGTCAACAAGTCCGCCCTCTCTATCTACATCTATTTCTCTAGGTAACGACTTAAGCCATCAATCAATTTATCGATCAATCAATCAATCAATCAATCAACAAATCGATGAATCAATCACCTTCGAGGTTCACCTCCACACATGAAGTAAATTCTGTCCTACCACACACACAGACACACACACACACACACACAGCCACACACAGAATGTCTGTGTTCCGATCAACACCTCTTCTCAAATCGCCGGAACTCACTAACAAAACAACACAATATAACTACTACTGATACAACATTTAACAAAATCACCATTGCATTGCATTGCATTCCACGCGTCAGTCGGTCGAACAAGTCTACTCACGTGAATCCTAATAATCCCTTATGCAAACAAACACATGCATGCAAATCATTTATTAGTACTTATCAAGCCGAACGAAATCACAAACAACTCAAGAAAATACCACCACTCACTCACACACAAACTGACACACTCACTCATTCACTATACCCACTCACTATATCAACATTCCACTCCAATCCATACAACAGGTGCATGAACCAACAATCAATGTAAGCTGAATGCTTCAAATCAACATTCTCTCACTCATCCCATCCTTCGCTGATATCCCTCTCTCTCTCTTAATTTCTCTCTGTCTCTGTCACTCCCTGCACGTCCACATATTACTCCTCCTACTCCGCCGCCTCCTGCAGTCTCATTTATTCCACGTCCTCTCTTTCCGCTTCACTCCTACAGACGAAGTCAAACCGACCGAGACCACAACAGAAGAAATAATCCAGACGACAACTGATGGTAAGTCAACGTTTTCAAATTCACTTCCTCCACTTCAATTCTTTACACCTGTGCACATCGCGTAGCCGCTCGTCAACAAGTCCGCCCTCTCCATCTACATCTATTTCTCTAGGTAACGACTTAAGCCATCAATCAATCTATCGATCAATCAATCAATCAATCAATCAATCAACAAATCGATGAATCAATCACCTTCGAGGTTCACCTCCACACATGAAGTAAATTCTGTCCTACCACACACACACACACACACACACGCCACACACAGAATGTCTGTGTTCCGATCAACACCTCTTCTCAAATCGCCGGAACTCACTAACAAAACAACACAATATAACTACTACTGATACAACATTTAACAAAATCACCATTGCATTGCATTGCATTCCACGCGTCAGTCGGTCGAACAAGTCTACTCACGTGAATCCTAATAATCCCTTATGCAAACAAACACATGCATGCAAATCATTTATTAGTACTTATCAAGCCGAACGAAATCACAAACAACTCAAGAAAATACCACCACTCACTCACACACAAACTGACACACTCACTCATTCACTATACCCACTCACTATATCAACATTCCACTCCAATCCATACAACAGGTGCATGAACCAACAATCAATGTAAGCTGAATGCTTCAAATCAACATTCTCCCACTCATCCCATCCTTCGCTGATCTCCCTCTCTCTCTCTTAATTTCTCTCTGTCTCTGTCACTCCCTGCACGTCCACATATTACTCCTCCTACTCCGCCGCCTCCTGCAGTCTCATTTATTCCACGTCCTCTCTTTCCGCTTCACTCCTACAGACGAAGTCAAACCGACCGAGACCACAACAGAAGAAATAATCCAGACGACAACTGATGGTAAGTCAACGTTTTCAAATTCACTTCCTCCACTTCAATTCTTTACACCTGTGCACATCGCGTAGCCGCTCGTCAACAAGTCCGCCCTCTCCATCTACATCTATTTCTCTAGGTAACGACTTAAGCCATCAATCAATCTATCGATCAATCAATCAATCAATCAATCAACAAATCGATTAATCAATCACCTTCGAGGTTCATCTCCACACATGAAGTAAATTCTGTCCTACCACACACACACACACACACACACAGCCACACACAGAATGTCTGTGTTCCGATCAACACCTCTTCTCAAATCGCCGGAACTCACTAACAAAACAACACAATATAACTACTACTGATACAACATTTAACAAAATCACCATTGCATTGCATTGCATTCCACGCGTCAGTCGGTCGAACAAGTCTACTCACGTGAATCCTAATAATCCCTTATGCAAACAAACACATGCATGCAAATCATTTATTAGTACTTATCAAGCCGAACGAAATCACAAACAACTCAAGAAAATACCACCACTCACTCACACACAAACTGACACACTCACTCATTCACTATACCCACTCACTATATCAACATTCCACTCCAATCCATACAACAGGTGCATGAACCAACAATCAATGTAAGCTGAATGCTTCAAATCAACATTCTCCCACTCATCCCATCCTTCGCTGATCTCCCTCTCTCTCTCTTAATTTCTCTCTGTCTCTGTCACTCCCTGCACGTCCACATATTACTCCTCCTACTCCGCCGCCTCCTGCAGTCTCATTTATTCCACGTCCTCTCTTTCCGCTTCACTCCTACAGACGAAGTCAAACCGACCGAGACCACAACAGAAGAAATAATCCAGACGACAACTGATGGTAAGTCAACGTTTTCAAATTCACTTCCTCCACTTCAATTCTTTACACCTGTGCACATCGCGTAGCCGCTCGTCAACAAGTCCGCCCTCTCTATCTACATCTATTTCTCTAGGTAACGACTTAAGCCATCAATCAATCTATCGATCAATCAATCAATCAATCAATCAATCAACAAATCGATGAATCAATCACCTTCGAGGTTCATCTCCACACATGAAGTAAATTCTGTCCTACCACACACACACACACACACAGCCACACACAGAATGTCTGTGTTCCGATCAACACCTCTTCTCAAATCGCCGGAACTCACTAACAAAACAACACAATATAACTACTACTGATACAACATTTAACAAAATCACCATTGCATTGCATTGCATTCCACGCGTCAGTCGGTCGAACAAGTCTACTCACGTGAATCCTAATAATCCCTTATGCAAACAAACACATGCATGCAAATCATTTATTAGTACTTATCAAGCCGAACGAAATCACAAACAACTCAAGAAAATACCACCACTCACTCACACACAAACTGACACACTCACTCATTCACTATACCCACTCACTATATCAACATTCCACTCCAATCCATACAACAGGTGCATGAACCAACAATCAATGTAAGCTGAATGCTTCAAATCAACATTCTCCCACTCATCCCATCCTTCGCTGATCTCCCTCTCTCTCTCTTAATTTCTCTCTGTCTCTGTCACTCCCTGCACGTCCACATATTACTCCTCCTACTCCGCCGCCTCCTGCAGTCTCATTTATTCCACGTCCTCTCTTTCCGCTTCACTCCTACAGACGAAGTCAAACCGACCGAGACCACAACAGAAGAAATAATCCAGACGACAACTGATGGTAAGTCAACGTTTTCAAATTCACTTCCTCCACTTCAATTCTTTACACCTGTGCACATCGCGTAGCCGCTCGTCAACAAGTCCGCCCTCTCCATCTACATCTATTTCTCTAGGTAACGACTTAAGCCATCAATCAATCTATCGATCAATCAATCAATCAATCAATCAACAAATCGATGAATCAATCACCTTCGAGGTTCACCTCCACACATGAAGTAAATTCTGTCCTACCATACACACACACACACACAGCCACACACAGAATGTCTGTGTTCCGATCAACACCTCTTCTCAAATCGCCGGAACTCACTAACAAAACAACACAATATAACTACTACTGATACAACATTTAACAAAATCACCATTGCATTGCATTGCATTCCACGCGTCAGTCGGTCGAACAAGTCTACTCACGTGAATCCTAATAATCCCTTATGCAAACAAACACATGCATGCAAATCATTTATTAGTACTTATCAAGCCGAACGAAATCACAAACAACTCAAGAAAATACCACCACTCACTCACACACAAACTGACACACTCACTCATTCACTATACCCACTCACTATATCAACATTCCACTCCAATCCATACAACAGGTGCATGAACCAACAATCAATGTAAGCTGAATGCTTCAAATCAACATTCTCCCACTCATCCCATCCTTCGCTGATCTCCCTCTCTCTCTCTTAATTTCTCTCTGTCTCTGTCACTCCCTGCACGTCCACATATTACTCCTCCTACTCCGCCGCCTCCTGCAGTCTCATTTATTCCACGTCCTCTCTTTCCGCTTCACTCCTACAGACGAAGTCAAACCGACCGAGACCACAACAGAAGAAATAATCCAGACAACAACTGATGGTAAGTCAACGTTTTCAAATTCACTTCCTCCACTTCAATTCTTTACACCTGTGCACATCGCGTAGCCGCTCGTCAACAAGTCCGCCCTCTCCATCTACATCTATTTCTCTAGGTAACGACTTAAGCCATCAATCAATCTATCGATCAATCAATCAACAAATCGATCAATCAATCACCTTCGAGGTTCACCTCCACACATGAAGTAAATTCTGTCCTACCACACACACACACACACACACACACACAGCCACACACAGAATGTCTGTGTTCCGATCAACACCTCTTCTCAAATCGCCGGAACTCACTAACAAAACAACACAATATAACTACTACTGATACAACATTTAACAAAATCACCATTGCATTGCATTGCATTCCACGCGTCAGTCGGTCGAACAAGTCTACTCACGTGAATCCTAATAATCCCTTATGCAAACAAACACATGCATGCAAATCATTTATTAGTACTTATCAAGCCGAACGAAATCACAAACAACTCAAGAAAATACCACCACTCACTCACACACAAACTGACACACTCACTCATTCACTATACCCACTCACTATATCAACATTCCACTCCAATCCATACAACAGGTGCATGAACCAACAATCAATGTAAGCTGAATGCTTCAAATCAACATTCTCCCACTCATCCCATCCTTCGCTGATCTCCCTCTCTCTCTCTTAATTTCTCTCTGTCTCTGTCACTCCCTGCACGTCCACATATTACTCCTCCTACTCCGCCGCCTCCTGCAGTCTCATTTATTCCACGTCCTCTCTTTCCGCTTCACTCCTACAGACGAAGTCAAACCGACCGAGACCACAACAGAAGAAATAATCCAGACGACAACTGATGGTAAGTCAACGTTTTCAAATTCACTTCCTCCACTTCAATTCTTTACACCTGTGCACATCGCGTAGCCGCTCGTCAACAAGTCCGCCCTCTCCATCTACATCTATTTCTCTAGGTAACGACTTAAGCCATCAATCAATCTATCGATCAATCAATCAATCAATCAATCAACAAATCGATTAATCAATCACCTTCGAGGTTCATCTCCACACATGAAGTAAATTCTGTCCTACCACACACACACACACACACACACACACGCCACACACAGAATGTCTGTGTTCCGATCAACACCTCTTCTCAAATCGCCGGAACTCACTAACAAAACAACACAATATAACTACTACTGATACAACATTTAACAAAATCACCATTGCATTGCATTGCATTCCACGCGTCAGTCGGTCGAACAAGTCTACTCACGTGAATCCTAATAATCCCTTATGCAAACAAACACATGCATGCAAATCATTTATTAGTACTTATCAAGCCGAACGAAATCACAAACAACTCAAGAAAATACCACCACTCACTCACACACAAACTGACACACTCACTCATTCACTATACCCACTCACTATATCAACATTCCACTCCAATCCATACAACAGGTGCATGAACCAACAATCAATGTAAGCTGAATGCTTCAAATCAACATTCTCCCACTCATCCCATCCTTCGCTGATCTCCCTCTCTCTCTCTTAATTTCTCTCTGTCTCTGTCACTCCCTGCACGTCCACATATTACTCCTCCTACTCCGCCGCCTCCTGCAGTCTCATTTATTCCACGTCCTCTCTTTCCGCTTCACTCCTACAGACGAAGTCAAACCGACCGAGACCACAACAGAAGAAATAATCCAGACAACAACTGATGGTAAGTCAACGTTTTCAAATTCACTTCCTCCACTTCAATTCTTTACACCTGTGCACATCGCGTAGCCGCTCGTCAACAAGTCCGCCCTCTCCATCTACATCTATTTCTCTAGGTAACGACTTAAGCCATCAATCAATCTATCGATCAATCAATCAACAAATCGATCAATCAATCACCTTCGAGGTTCACCTCCACACATGAAGTAAATTCTGTCCTACCACACACACACACACACACACACACACAGCCACACACAGAATGTCTGTGTTCCGATCAACACCTCTTCTCAAATCGCCGGAACTCACTAACAAAACAACACAATATAACTACTACTGATACAACATTTAACAAAATCACCATTGCATTGCATTGCATTCCACGCGTCAGTCGGTCGAACAAGTCTACTCACGTGAATCCTAATAATCCCTTATGCAAACAAACACATGCATGCAAATCATTTATTAGTACTTATCAAGCCGAACGAAATCACAAACAACTCAAGAAAATACCACCACTCACTCACACACAAACTGACACACTCACTCATTCACTATACCCACTCACTATATCAACATTCCACTCCAATCCATACAACAGGTGCATGAACCAACAATCAATGTAAGCTGAATGCTTCAAATCAACATTCTCCCACTCATCCCATCCTTCGCTGATCTCCCTCTCTCTCTCTTAATTTCTCTCTGTCTCTGTCACTCCCTGCACGTCCACATATTACTCCTCCTACTCCGCCGCCTCCTGCAGTCTCATTTATTCCACGTCCTCTCTTTCCGCTTCACTCCTACAGACGAAGTCAAACCGACCGAGACCACAACAGAAGAAATAATCCAGACGACAACTGATGGTAAGTCAACGTTTTCAAATTCACTTCCTCCACTTCAATTCTTTACACCTGTGCACATCGCGTAGCCGCTCGTCAACAAGTCCGCCCTCTCCATCTACATCTATTTCTCTAGGTAACGACTTAAGCCATCAATCAATCTATCGATCAATCAATCAATCAATCAATCAACAAATCGATGAATCAATCACCTTCGAGGTTCACCTCCACACATGAAGTAAATTCTGTCCTACCACACACACACACACACACACAGCCACACACAGAATGTCTGTGTTCCGATCAACACCTCTTCTCAAATCGCCGGAACTCACTAACAAAACAACACAATATAACTACTACTGATACAACATTTAACAAAATCACCATTGCATTGCATTGCATTGCTCCACGCGTCAGTCGGTCGAACAAGTCTACTCACGTGAATCCTAATAATCCCTTATGCAAACAAACACATGCATGCAAATCATTTATTAGTACTTATCAAGCCGAACGAAATCACAAACAACTCAAGAAAATACCACCACTCACTCACACACAAACTGACACACTCACTCATTCACTATACCCACTCACTATATCAACATTCCACTCCAATCCATACAACAGGTGCATGAACCAACAATCAATGTAAGCTGAATGCTTCAAATCAACATTCTCCCACTCATCCCATCCTTCGCTGATCTCCCTCTCTCTCTCTTAATTTCTCTCTGTCTCTGTCACTCCCTGCACGTCCACATATTACTCCTCCTACTCCGCCGCCTCCTGCAGTCTCATTTATTCCACGTCCTCTCTTTCCGCTTCACTCCTACAGACGAAGTCAAACCGACCGAGACCACAACAGAAGAAATAATCCAGACGACAACTGATGGTAAGTCAACGTTTTCAAATTCACTTCCTCCACTTCAATTCTTTACACCTGTGCACATCGCGTAGCCGCTCGTCAACAAGTCCGCCCTCTCCATCTACATCTATTTCTCTAGGTAACGACTTAAGCCATCAATCAATCTATCGATCAATCAATCAATCAATCAATCAATCAACAAATCGATGAATCAATCACCTTCGAGGTTCACCTCCACACATGAAGTAAATTCTGTCCTACCACACACACACACACACACAGCCACACACAGAATGTCTGTGTTCCGATCAACACCTCTTCTCAAATCGCCGGAACTCACTAACAAAACAACACAATATAACTACTACTGATACAACATTTAACAAAATCACCATTGCATTGCATTGCATTCCACGCGTCAGTCGGTCGAACAAGTCTACTCACGTGAATCCTAATAATCCCTTATGCAAACAAACACATGCATGCAAATCATTTATTAGTACTTATCAAGCCGAACGAAATCACAAACAACTCAAGAAAATACCACCACTCACTCACACACAAACTGACACACTCACTCATTCACTATACCCACTCACTATATCAACATTCCACTCCAATCCATACAACAGGTGCATGAACCAACAATCAATGTAAGCTGAATGCTTCAAATCAACATTCTCCCACTCATCCCATCCTTCGCTGATCTCCCTCTCTCTCTCTTAATTTCTCTCTGTCTCTGTCACTCCCTGCACGTCCACATATTACTCCTCCTACTCCGCCGCCTCCTGCAGTCTCATTTATTCCACGTCCTCTCTTTCCGCTTCACTCCTACAGACGAAGTCAAACCGACCGAGACCACAACAGAAGAAATAATCCAGACAACAACTGATGGTAAGTCAACGTTTTCAAATTCACTTCCTCCACTTCAATTCTTTACACCTGTGCACATCGCGTAGCCGCTCGTCAACAAGTCCGCCCTCTCCATCTACATCTATTTCTCTAGGTAACGACTTAAGCCATCAATCAATCTATCGATCAATCAATCAACAAATCGATCAATCAATCACCTTCGAGGTTCACCTCCACACATGAAGTAAATTCTGTCCTACCACACACACACACACACACACACACACAGCCACACACAGAATGTCTGTGTTCCGATCAACACCTCTTCTCAAATCGCCGGAACTCACTAACAAAACAACACAATATAACTACTACTGATACAACATTTAACAAAATCACCATTGCATTGCATTGCATTCCACGCGTCAGTCGGTCGAACAAGTCTACTCACGTGAATCCTAATAATCCCTTATGCAAACAAACACATGCATGCAAATCATTTATTAGTACTTATCAAGCCGAACGAAATCACAAACAACTCAAGAAAATACCACCACTCACTCACACACAAACTGACACACTCACTCATTCACTATACCCACTCACTATATCAACATTCCACTCCAATCCATACAACAGGTGCATGAACCAACAATCAATGTAAGCTGAATGCTTCAAATCAACATTCTCCCACTCATCCCATCCTTCGCTGATCTCCCTCTCTCTCTCTTAATTTCTCTCTGTCTCTGTCACTCCCTGCACGTCCACATATTACTCCTCCTACTCCGCCGCCTCCTGCAGTCTCATTTATTCCACGTCCTCTCTTTCCGCTTCACTCCTACAGACGAAGTCAAACCGACCGAGACCACAACAGAAGAAATAATCCAGACGACAACTGATGGTAAGTCAACGTTTTCAAATTCACTTCCTCCACTTCAATTCTTTACACCTGTGCACATCGCGTAGCCGCTCGTCAACAAGTCCGCCCTCTCCATCTACATCTATTTCTCTAGGTAACGACTTAAGCCATCAATCAATCTATCGATCAATCAATCAATCAATCAATCAACAAATCGATGAATCAATCACCTTCGAGGTTCACCTCCACACATGAAGTAAATTCTGTCCTACCACACACACACACACACACACAGCCACACACAGAATGTCTGTGTTCCGATCAACACCTCTTCTCAAATCGCCGGAACTCACTAACAAAACAACACAATATAACTACTACTGATACAACATTTAACAAAATCACCATTGCATTGCATTGCATTCCACGCGTCAGTCGGTCGAACAAGTCTACTCACGTGAATCCTAATAATCCCTTATGCAAACAAACACATGCATGCAAATCATTTATTAGTACTTATCAAGCCGAACGAAATCACAAACAACTCAAGAAAATACCACCACTCACTCACACACAAACTGACACACTCACTCATTCACTATACCCACTCACTATATCAACATTCCACTCCAATCCATACAACAGGTGCATGAACCAACAATCAATGTAAGCTGAATGCTTCAAATCAACATTCTCTCACTCATCCCATCCTTCGCTGATCTCCCTCTCTCTCTCTTAATTTCTCTCTGTCTCTGTCACTCCCTGCACGTCCACATATTACTCCTCCTACTCCGCCGCCTCCTGCAGTCTCATTTATTCCACGTCCTCTCTTTCCGCTTCACTCCTACAGACGAAGTCAAACCGACCGAGACCACAACAGAAGAAATAATCCAGACAACAACTGATGGTAAGTCAACGTTTTCAAATTCACTTCCTCCACTTCAATTCTTTACACCTGTGCACATCGCGTAGCCGCTCGTCAACAAGTCCGCCCTCTCCATCTACATCTATTTCTCTAGGTAACGACTTAAGCCATCAATCAATCTATCGATCAATCAATCAATCAATCAATCAACAAATCGATGAATCAATCACCTTCGAGGTTCACCTCCACACATGAAGTAAATTCTGTCCTACCACACACACACACACACACAGCCACACACAGAATGTCTGTGTTCCGATCAACACCTCTTCTCAAATCGCCGGAACTCACTAACAAAACAACACAATATAACTACTACTGATACAACATTTAACAAAATCACCATTGCATTGCATTGCATTCCACGCGTCAGTCGGTCGAACAAGTCTACTCACGTGAATCCTAATAATCCCTTATGCAAACAAACACATGCATGCAAATCATTTATTAGTACTTATCAAGCCGAACGAAATCACAAACAACTCAAGAAAATACCACCACTCACTCACACACAAACTGACACACTCACTCATTCACTATACCCACTCACTATATCAACATTCCACTCCAATCCATACAACAGGTGCATGAACCAACAATCAATGTAAGCTGAATGCTTCAAATCAACATTCTCCCACTCATCCCATCCTTCGCTGATCTCCCTCTCTCTCTCTTTAATTTCTCTCTGTCTCTGTCACTCCCTGCACGTCCACATATTACTCCTCCTACTCCGCCGCCTCCTGCAGTCTCATTTATTCCACGTCCTCTCTTTCCGCTTCACTCCTACAGACGAAGTCAAACCGACCGAGACCACAACAGAAGAAATAATCCAGACGACAACTGATGGTAAGTCAACGTTTTCAAATTCACTTCCTCCACTTCAATTCTTTACACCTGTGCACATCGCGTAGCCGCTCGTCAACAAGTCCGCCCTCTCCATCTACATCTATTTCTCTAGGTAACGACTTAAGCCATCAATCAATCTATCGATCAATCAATCAATCAATCAATCAACAAATCGATGAATCAATCACCTTCGAGGTTCACCTCCACACATGAAGTAAATTCTGTCCTACCACACACACACACACACACAGCCACACACAGAATGTCTGTGTTCCGATCAACACCTCTTCTCAAATCGCCGGAACTCACTAACAAAACAACACAATATAACTACTACTGATACAACATTTAACAAAATCACCATTGCATTGCATTGCATTCCACGCGTCAGTCGGTCGAACAAGTCTACTCACGTGAATCCTAATAATCCCTTATGCAAACAAACACATGCATGCAAATCATTTATTAGTACTTATCAAGCCGAACGAAATCACAAACAACTCAAGAAAATACCACCACTCACTCACACACAAACTGACACACTCACTCATTCACTATACCCACTCACTATATCAACATTCCACTCCAATCCATACAACAGGTGCATGAACCAACAATCAATGTAAGCTGAATGCTTCAAATCAACATTCTCCCACTCATCCCATCCTTCGCTGATATCCCTCTCTCTCTCTCTTAATTTCTCTCTGTCTCTGTCACTCCCTGCACGTCCACATATTACTCCTCCTACTCCGCCGCCTCCTGCAGTCTCATTTATTCCACGTCCTCTCTTTCCGCTTCACTCCTACAGACGAAGTCAAACCGACCGAGACCACAACAGAAGAAATAATCCAGACGACAACTGATGGTAAGTCAACGTTTTCAAATTCACTTCCTCCACTTCAATTCTTTACACCTGTGCACATCGCGTAGCCGCTCGTCAACAAGTCCGCCCTCTCCATCTACATCTATTTCTCTAAGTAACGACTTAAGCCATCAATCAATCTATCGATCAATCAATCAATCAATCAATCAACAAATCGATCAATCAATCACCTTCGAGGTTCACCTCCACACATGAAGTAAATTCTGTCCTACCACACACACACACACACAGCCACACACAGAATGTCTGTGTTCCGATCAACACCTCTTCTCAAATCGCCGGAACTCACTAACAAAACAACACAATATAACTACTACTGATACAACATTTAACAAAATCACCATTGCATTGCATTGCATTCCACGCGTCAGTCGGTCGAACAAGTCTACTCACGTGAATCCTAATAATCCCTTATGCAAACAAACACATGCATGCAAATCATTTATTAGTACTTATCAAGCCGAACGAAATCACAAACAACTCAAGAAAATACCACCACTCACTCACACACAAACTGACACACTCACTCATTCACTATACCCACTCACTATATCAACATTCCACTCCAATCCATACAACAGGTGCATGAACCAACAATCAATGTAAGCTGAATGCTTCAAATCAACATTCTCCCACTCATCCCATCCTTCGCTGATCTCCCTCTCTCTCTCTCTTAATTTCTCTCTGTCTCTGTCACTCCCTGCACGTCCACATATTACTCCTCCTACTCCGCCGCCTCCTGCAGTCTCATTTATTCCACGTCCTCTCTTTCCGCTTCACTCCTACAGACGAAGTCAAACCGACCGAGACCACAACAGAAGAAATAATCCAGACGACAACTGATGGTAAGTCAACGTTTTCAAATTCACTTCCTCCACTTCAATTCTTTACACCTGTGCACATCGCATAGCCACTCGTCAACAAGTCCGCCCTCTCCATCTACATCTATTTCTCTAGGTAACGACCTAAGCCATCAATCAATCTATCGATCGATCAATCAATCAATCAATCAACAAATCGATGAATCAATCACCTTCGAGGTTCACCTCCACACATGAAGTAAATTCTGTCCTACCAAACACACACACACACACAGCCACACACAGAATGTCTGTGTTCCTATCAAAACCTCCTACCAAATCACCGGAACTCACTAACAAAACAACACAATATAACTACTACTGATACAACATTTAACAAAATCACCATTGCATTGCATTGCATTCCACGCGTCAGTCGGTCGAACAAGTCTACTCACGTGAATCCTAATAATCCCTTATGCAAACAAACACATGCATGCAAATCATTTATTAGTACTTATCAAGCCGAACGAAATCACAAACAACTCAAGAAAATGCCAACACACGCACTCTCACTCACTCACTCACTGACTCACTCACTCACTCGCTTAACCCACTAACTATATCAACAATCCACTCCAATCCAATCATCAATCCAATTCATCCATACAACAGGTGCATAAACCAACAATCAATGTAAGCTGAATGCTTCAAATCAACATTATCCCACTCATCCCATCCTTCGCTGATCTCCCTCGCTCTCTCATTCTCTCTCTCTCATTCTCTCTCTCTCTCCCTGTCTCTACCTGCACGTGCACATATTACCAATCCTCCTCCTCCTCCGCCTACTCCGCCGCCTCCTGCAGTCTCATTTATTCCACGTCCTCTCTTTCCGCTTCACTCCTACAGACGAATTCTATCCGAAGAAGACCACAACACAGAAAATACTCAAGACGACAACTGATGGTAAGTCGACATTCTCCCATTCACCTCGTCCTCTTCAAGTCTCTACAAATGTACACATCGCAATGCCCATCGTCAACTAGTCCGCTCTCTCTGTGTATATACACATACATCTTTCATTCTGTTACAACTTAACCAATCAATCACTGAATCACCTTCGAGATCCACCTGCACACATGAAATAAATTCAGTCGTAACACACACACACACACACACACAAACTAACGGTTTGTCTGTGTGGCGATGATCGCCCCTTCTCAAATCGCCGGAGCTCACTAACCAAACAACACAATATAACTACTAGTGATACAACATTTAAATAATTACCATTCCATTGCATTGCATTCCATTGCATTGAATGGCATTGCATTGCACACGTCTGTCTGTCGACTAAGTCTACTCACGTGAATACTCATAATCCCTTATGCAAACAAACACATGCATGCAAATCATTTATTCGTAATTATCAAGCCGAACGAAATCACAAACAACTCAAGAAAATGCCAACACACCCGCACTCACTCACTCACTCACTGACTCACTCACTCACTCGCTTCAACCACTAACAATATCAACAATCCAATCCAATCCAATCCATACAACAGGTGCATAAACCAACAATCAATGTAAGCTGAATGCTTCAAATCAACATTATCCCACTCATCCCATCCTTCGCTGATCTCCCTCGCTCTCTCATTCTCTCTCTCTCATTCTCTCTCTCTCTCCCTGTCTCTACCTGCACGTGCACATATTACCAATCCTCCTCCTCCTCCGCCTACTCCGCCGCCTCCTGCAGTCTCATTTATTCCACGTCCTCTCTTTCCGCTTCACTCCTACAGACGAATTCTATCCGAAGAAGACCACAACACAGAAAATACTCAAGACGACAACTGATGGTAAGTCGACATTCTCCCATTCACCTCGTCCTCTTCAAGTCTCTACAAATGTACACATCGCAATGCCCATCGTCAACTAGTCCGCTCTCTCTGTGTATATACACATACATCTTTCATTCTGTTACAACTTAACCAATCAATCACTGAATCACCTTCGAGATTCACCTGCACACATGAAATAAATTCAGTCGTAACACACACACACACACACACACAAACTAACGGTTTGTCTGTGTGGCGATGATCGCCTCTTCTCAAATCGCCGGAGCTCACTAACCAAACAACACAATATAACTACTAGTGATACAACATTTAAATAATTACCATTCCATTGCATTGCATTCCATTGCATTGAATGGCATTGCATTGCACACGTCTGTCTGTCGACTAAGTCTACTCACGTGAATACTCATAATCCCTTATGCAAACAAACACATGCATGCAAATCATTTATTCGTAATTATCAAGCCGAACGAAATCACAAACAACTCAAGAAAATGCCAACACACCCGCACTCACTCACTCACTCCCTTGCTTAACCCAATAACTATATCAACAATCCAATCCAATCCAATCCAATCCATACAACAGGTGCATAAACCAACAATCAATGTAAGCTGAATGCTTCAAATCAACATTATCCCACTCATCCCATCCTTCGCTGATCTCCCTCGCTCTCTCATTCTCTCTCTCTCATTCTCTCTCTCTCTCCCTGTCTCTACCTGCACGTGCACATATTACCAATCCTCCTCCTCCTCCGCCTACTCCGCCGCCTCCTGCAGTCTCATTTATTCCACGTCCTCTCTTTCCGCTTCACTCCTACAGACGAATTCTATCCGAAGAAGACCACAACACAGAAAATACTCAAGACGACAACTGATGGTAAGTCGACATTCTCCCATTCACCTCGTCCTCTTCAAGTCTCTACAAATGTACACATCGCAATGCCCATCGTCAACTAGTCCGCTCTCTCTGTGTATATACACATACATCTTTCATTCTGTTACAACTTAACCAATCAATCACTGAATCACCTTCGAGATCCACCTGCACACATGAAATAAATTCAGTCGTAACACACACACACACACACAAACTAACGGTTTGTCTGTGTGGCGATGATCGCCCCTTCTCAAATCGCCGGAGCTCACTAACCAAACAACGCTATATAACTACTAGTGATACAACATTTAAATAATTACCATTCCATTGCATTGCATTCCATTGCATTGAATGGCATTGCATTGCACACGTCTGTCTGTCGTCTAAGTCTACTCACGTGAATACTCATAATCCCTTATGCAAACAAACACATGCATGCAAATCATTTATTCGTAATTATCAAGCCAAACGAAATCACAAACAACTCAAGAAAATGCCAACACACCCGCACTCACTCACTCACTCACTCACTGACTCACTCACTCACTCGCTTCAACCACTAACTATATCAACAATCCAATCCAATCCAATCCAATTCAATCCATACAACAGGTGCATAAACCAACAATCAATATAAGCTGAATGCTTCAAATCAACATTATCCCACTCATCCCATCCTTCGCTGATCTCCCTCGCTCTCTCATTCTCTCTCTCTCATTCTCTCTCTCTCCCTGTCTCTACCTGCACGTGCACATATTACCAATCCTCCTCCTCCTCCGCCTACTCCGCCGCCTCCTGCAGTCTCATTTATTCCACGTCCTCTCTTTCCGCTTCACTCCTACAGACGAATTCTATCCGAAGAAGACCACAACACAGAAAATACTCAAGACGACAACTGATGGTAAGTCGACATTCTCCCATTCACCTCGTCCTCTTCAAGTCTCTACAAATGTACACATCGCAATGCCCATCGTCAACTAGTCCGCTCTCTCTGTGTATATACACATACATCTTTCATTCTGTTACAACTTAACCAATCAATCACTGAATCACCTTCGAGATTCACCTGCACACATGAAATAAATTCAGTCGTAACACACACACACACACACAAACTAACGGTTTGTCTGTGTGGCGATGATTGCCTCTTCTCAAATCGCCGGAGCTCACTAACCAAACAACACAATATAACTACTAGTGATACAACATTTAAATAATTACCATTCCATTGCATTGCATTCCATTGCATTGAATGGCATTGCATTGCACACGTCTGTCTGTCGACTAAGTCTACTCACGTGAATACTCATAATCCCTTATGCAAACAAACACATGCATGCAAATCATTTATTCGTAATTATCAAGCCGAACGAAATCACAAACAACTCAAGAAAATGCCAACACACCCGCACTCACTCACTCACTCACTCACTGACTCACTCACTCACTCGCTTCAACCACTAACTATATCAACAATCCAATCCAATCCAATCCATACAACAGGTGCATAAACCAACAATCAATATAAGCTGAATGCTTCAAATCAACATTATCCCACTCATCCCATCCTTCGCTGATCTCCCTCTCTCTCTCATTCTCTCTCTCTCCCTGTCTCTACCTGCACGTGCACATATTACCAATCCTCCTCCTCCTCCGCCTACTCCGCCGCCTCCTGCAGTCTCATTTATTCCACGTCCTCTCTTTCCGCTTCACTCCTACAGACGAATTCTATCCGAAGAAGACCACAACACAGAAAATACTCAAGACGACAACTGATGGTAAGTCGACATTCTCCCATTCACCTCGTCCTCTTCAAGTCTCTACAAATGTACACATCGCAATGCCCATCGTCAACTAGTCCGCTCTCTCTGTGTATATACACATACATCTTTCATTCTGTTACAACTTAACCAATCAATCACTGAATCACCTTCGAGATTCACCTGCACACATGAAATAAATTCAGTCGTAACACACACACACACACACACAAACTAACGGTTTGTCTGTGTGGCGATGATCGCCCCTTCTCAAATCGCCGGAGCTCACTAACCAAACAACACAATATAACTACTAGTGATACAACATTTAAATAATTACCATTCCATTGCATTGCATTCCATTGCATTGAATGGCATTGCATTGCACACGTCTGTCTGTCGACTAAGTCTACTCACGTGAATACTCATAATCCCTTATGCAAACAAACACATGCATGCAAATCATTTATTCGTAATTATCAAGCCGAACGAAATCACAAACAACTCAAGAAAATGCCAACACACCCGCACTCACTCACTCACTCCCTTGCTTAACCCAATAACTATATCAACAATCCAATCCAATCCAATCCAATCCATACAACAGGTGCATAAACCAACAATCAATGTAAGCTGAATGCTTCAAATCAACATTATCCCACTCATCCCATCCTTCGCTGATCTCCCTCGCTCTCTCATTCTCTCTCTCTCATTCTCTCTCTCTCTCCCTGTCTCTACCTGCACGTGCACATATTACCAATCCTCCTCCTCCTCCGCCTACTCCGCCGCCTCCTGCAGTCTCATTTATTCCACGTCCTCTCTTTCCGCTTCACTCCTACAGACGAATTCTATCCGAAGAAGACCACAACACAGAAAATACTCAAGACGACAACTGATGGTAAGTCGACATTCTCCCATTCACCTCGTCCTCTTCAAGTCTCTACAAATGTACACATCGCAATGCCCATCGTCAACTAGTCCGCTCTCTCTGTGTATATACACATACATCTTTCATTCTGTTACAACTTAACCAATCAATCACTGAATCACCTTCGAGATTCACCTGCACACATGAAATAAATTCAGTCGTAACACACACACACACACACACAAACTAACGGTTTGTCTGTGTGGCGATGATCGCCTCTTCTCAAATCGCCGGAGCTCACTAACCAAACAACACAATATAACTACTAGTGATACAACATTTAAATAATTACCATTCCATTGCATTGCATTCCATTGCATTGAATGGCATTGCATTGCACACGTCTGTCTGTCGACTAAGTCTACTCACGTGAATACTCATAATCCCTTATGCAAACAAACACATGCATGCAAATCATTTATTCGTAATTATCAAGCCGAACGAAATCACAAACAACTCAAGAAAATGCCAACACACCCGCACTCACTCACTCACTCACTCACTGACTCACTCACTCACTCGCTTAACCCACTAACTATATCAACAATCCAATCCAATCCAATCCAATTCAATCCAATCGAATTCAATCCATACAACAGGTGCATAAACCAACAATCAATGTAAGCTGAATGCTTCAAATCAACATTATCCCACTCATCCCATCCTTCGCTGATCTCCCTCGCTCTCTCATTCTCTCTCTCTCATTCTCTCTCTCTCTCCCTGTCTCTACCTGCACGTGCACATATTACCAATCCTCCTCCTCCTCCGCCTACTCCGCCGCCTCCTGCAGTCTCATTTATTCCACGTCCTCTCTTTCCGCTTCACTCCTACAGACGAATTCTATCCGAAGAAGACCACAACACAGAAAATACTCAAGACGACAACTGATGGTAAGTCGACATTCTCCCATTCACCTCGTCCTCTTCAAGTCTCTACAAATGTACACATCGCAATGCCCATCGTCAACTAGTCCGCTCTCTCTGTGTATATACACATACATCTTTCATTCTGTTACAACTTAACCAATCAATCACTGAATCACCTTCGAGATTCACCTGCACACATGAAATAAATTCAGTCGTAACACACACACACACACACAAACTAACGGTTTGTCTGTGTGGCGATGATCGCCTCTTCTCAAATCGCCGGAGCTCACTAACCAAACAACACAATATAACTACTAGTGATACAACATTTAAATAATTACCATTCCATTGCATTGCATTCCATTGCATTGAATGGCATTGCATTGCACACGTCTGTCTGTCGACTAAGTCTACTCACGTGAATACTCATAATCCCTTATGCAAACAAACACATGCATGCAAATCATTTATTCGTAATTATCAAGCCGAACGAAATCACAAACAACTCAAGAAAATGCCAACACACCCGCACTCACTCACTCACTCACTCACTGACTCACTCACTCACTCGCTTAACCCACTAACTATATCAACAATCCAATCCAATCCAATCCAATTCAATCCAATCGAATTCAATCCATACAACAGGTGCATAAACCAACAATCAATGTAAGCTGAATGCTTCAAATCAACATTATCCCACTCATCCCATCCTTCGCTGATCTCCCTCTCTCTCTCATTCTCTCTCTCTCTCCCTGTCTCTACCTGCACGTGCACATATTACCAATCCTCCTCCTCCTCCGCCTACTCCGCCGCCTCCTGCAGTCTCATTTATTCCACGTCCTCTCTTTCCGCTTCACTCCTACAGACGAATTCTATCCGAAGAAGACCACAACACAGAAAATACTCAAGACGACAACTGATGGTAAGTCGACATTCTCCCATTCACCTCGTCCTCTTCAAGTCTCTACAAATGTACACATCGCAATGCCCATCGTCAACTAGTCCGCTCTCTCTGTGTATATACACATACATCTTTCATTCTGTTACAACTTAACCAATCAATCACTGAATCACCTTCGAGATTCACCTGCACACATGAAATAAATTCAGTCGTAACACACACACACACACACACACACACAAACTAACGGTTTGTCTGTGTGGCGATGATCGCCTCTTCTCAAATCGCCGGAGCTCACTAACCAAACAACACAATATAACTACTAGTGATACAACATTTAAATAATTACCATTCCATTGCATTGCATTCCATTGCATTGAATGGCATTGCATTGCACACGTCTGTCTGTCGACTAAGTCTACTCACGTGAATACTCATAATCCCTTATGCAAACAAACACATGCATGCAAATCATTTATTCGTAATTATCAAGCCGAACGAAATCACAAACAACTCAAGAAAATGCCAACACACCCGCACTCACTCACTCACTCACTCACTGACTCACTCACTCACTCGCTTAACCCACTAACTATATCAACAATCCAATCCAATCCAATCCAATTCAATCCAATCGAATTCAATCCATACAACAGGTGCATAAACCAACAATCAATGTAAGCTGAATGCTTCAAATCAACATTATCCCACTCATCCCATCCTTCGCTGATCTCCCTCGCTCTCTCATTCTCTCTCTCTCTCCCTGTCTCTACCTGCACGTGCACATATTACCAATCCTCCTCCTCCTCCGCCTACTCCGCCGCCTCCTGCAGTCTCATTTATTCCACGTCCTCTCTTTCCGCTTCACTCCTACAGACGAATTCTATCCGAAGAAGACCACAACACAGAAAATACTCAAGACGACAACTGATGGTAAGTCGACATTCTCCCATTCACCTCGTCCTCTTCAAGTCTCTACAAATGTACACATCGCAATGCCCATCGTCAACTAGTCCGCTCTCTCTGTGTATATACACATACATCTTTCATTCTGTTACAACTTAACCAATCAATCACTGAATCACCTTCGAGATCCACCTGCACACATGAAATAAATTCAGTCGTAACACACACACACACACACAAACTAACGGTTTGTCTGTGTGGCGATGATCGCCTCTTCTCAAATCGCCGGAGCTCACTAACCAAACAACACAATATAACTACTGGTGATACAACATTTAAATAATTACCATTCCATTGCATTGCATTCCATTGCATTGAATGGCATTGCATTGCACACGTCTGTCTGTCGACTAAGTCTACTCACGTGAATACTCATAATCCCTTATGCAAACAAACACATGCATGCAAATCATTTATTCGTAATTATCAAGCCGAACGAAATCACAAACAACTCAAGAAAATGCCAACACTCCCTCACTCACTCCTCAATCACTGACTCTATCAACAATCGTATCCAATCAATACAACTTTTGCATTAGCCACTAATCTCTGTAACCTGAATGCTTCATATCTTCCTTCTCTTCCTTATGCCTTTCTTCTCTGATCTCTCGCTGTTTAGCTCACTCTCTCTTTGTTTCTGTCTCCTTCTCCTCCTGCTCTCTCAAATTTTTCATATTTTTTATTCAACATTTTTTATTTTTGCCTAAACCCATTTTCTTTTTTTTGTTGATGTAGATTATCTTTCCCTCTTTTTCTTGCTTTTCTCTATTTTCCCTTTTTCCATGTGTTTTCTTTATCATATTACTCTTCTATCATTAACGTGTTTTCTTTTTCTCGATAACCTTTTTATTTTGTTTTTTGCCACTTGTGTTTTTGACAGAATGAATATTTTTCGAACTGTCTTCGAATCATTAGTGACTACACTCGACGCTTTTTCCTGCTTATTATGTTCGTGTGTTGATGCATTTCTGCATATCTTCCTGTTATGTACTGCTGCTGAGTGGCTAATCAAGTTTTCCTCGTTGCCATTTATGTTATGTCCTCGTCGAGTAGTTGATAGTCCTGACGCGGAAAGAGGGAAATCAGAAGAACACCAGGTTTACGATGATACTTGTATTTTCCAGACAAGGAAAATAAATATCACACTAGTGTGTGAGTGAAAGGATACTTAGGTGTACGAAATGTGGGAACAAGTCTGAATAAGTATACAGTACAAAAGTATATATGAAAATGACTAATACACATAAACCAATAAGATAACGTCTTACCATGATTGGTTGTAATGTCATTTGACAACAAGTTCATACATTGTTTATTTAGTTAGTGGACCGACAAAAGCATATTGTCAGTTATAACGAAATATCGATCCATATACACATAGCAAAATATAAGAGACTGTCAAAACAAAACACACATCATGTGGATACATATCACTTCCGTATTTATATTAATATTGTTTGTTTTTTTCTGTTCGTTTCTATTTGTTTCTTGAAGGCAAGACGCATCTCATTGGAACGGATAATCCTAAAGAAAATATGTCAGTAGCTCCTGGAATATCATCAGCTGCATTCAACTGGCCTATTATTGTTACAGCATTGTTGCTAATAGTTTTCTTAATATTTTGTATTGCCTTCTTTTACAAAATGTGTTGCTGCTGCTGATGATGATGATTTCTGTACGCTTTTCCGCGTGTCGATTTATTAGTTTTCTTCTGTTTCATTTTTTACTGTCTGTCATTAACTTTTTCTGAATTATTTTCATGTTTTTTTTTTGTACATGTTTAACACTTTACTCTCCTACTCTATACCTCATCTTCAACGAAGTATTTGTGCAGATCTTCAGTGTCCTTCTTTCGTATTCTTTTTCTTTGTGTTTTCCTTTCACATCTCCTTCACATCTCTCTACAACACTGAGAAGGATTTACTCTTCCCCTGAAGTCATATCTATCTTCTAGCTATTCGATATGTGTTTTATGTTTGATGAACGTCTGTATTTCTATACTACTTATTGTTAAATTTTATCAGTAGCATATGCCACAGACTGTCTATGCTTTTTTAATTCTATTTCTTTTTTTTTCTTACTTCTCTGTCAGATTTCCTTTGTACTGGCTTTCATATTTGCTTTTTTTAATAAATGTCTTTATATTGGAAGCCTTTTTCTCTACTCCTGGATTGCATATTTATATGAATGAGGATAATAATACCAGTTTTTATTATTATTATTTATTATTTAACTCCTTGTACCCCGAATGGAGGGTGGGGGGTATCCCAGTAATACCACCGATTCACTTGGTTTTCTGCAGTTAATATCCTTTAGGCTTACAGGATTTTTTATTTCCTTTCCACATTATATCATCTATGCCTTGCTCATATATACACGCCTAACTCGTCGCGTAGCCATCAGTCTTCACTCAGCAACCTGACCAGTAATATTGTAACAACAGAAGACAAGGAAAAGGCAACAGATCGGTTATTAAGGAAATTATTATTATTATAGGTTATTCATGCAAACAAACACAGTCTTCTGATTGGTTGTTTCTCATAGAAAGTTAATCTTTCATCTCATTGTTGCTGTTTCTTAAATGTCAGGTCATCTATATATGTTAACTGTATCTGACTACGCCAAGTCTGCTCTGATTGGTTGTTGAATCAGTCTTGTTCATATTTTCGCACAACCAGTATATATGCAACACAAACATTGATGTAAATAATGGTCTACCAATTGGTTAGCAGCCTGCTCTCACCACAAACGTCAATCCATCAAAAACTTGCGACTGAAGTTGTTTCGGCCTTCTTGGTCCTAGGCGCTTTGTTCGTTCGTCTTGCTGTCTGGAATCGCGGCGCTCGCTGATGTTCACCTGTTTCTCTTAGTTTGCCATTGAGATTTTGTCTGCATAACCCCATCTCAAAGTTAACATATGTGGTCCTTCCCACTTTGGAAACTGTTTTCCTGACCCTATCACACATTCGTTGATATTTCGCCTCGCACTTCCATATGCTGCTTTCTCCCGACTTTCCAGCAGCGTCTCAAGCAGCAGCCTCATTGCTGACAGATCTTGAACGCCACTCAACTACGCAGAAGCCTTGAAGTCCTACCCGAACATCCATATGTCCCCATCAAAAGCTGCAGGGTATAGGCTTTTCATTTGTCGGTAGGCATCGGCAGCAAATATAACAACAGAAGATAAGGGCCAACCAAACAGATCGCTTATTAAGGAAATTAACACGTATATATATATATATATATATATTCATGTACATTATTATAGGTTATTCAAGCAAACAGACACAATCTTCTGATTGGTTGTTTCTCATAGAAAGTTTATCTTTCATCTCTTTGTGACTGTTTCTTGAATGTCAGGTCATCTATATGTTAACTGTATCTGACTACGCCAAGTCTGCTGTGATTGGTTGTTGAATCACTCTTTGTTCATATTTTGGCACAACCAATATATATGCGACACAAACATTGACGTAAATTAATGTCTACCAATTTGGCTAACAGCTATTTCTCACCACAATATCACCTGAATTTCCTCTCAGTGTGTGCCCAAAACATCCCAGGTTTCTTCTACGTATTCGTTGGTTGCTTTTTTTTGCCTACTACACGTTGTCTACTGTGTTGCTTATTCCCTTTCTATCCGGCTATATAATTGAAAAAAGTTTATGGAAGCCTGCTGGAAGTACTTCTGCTTAAATCTCCCAAAGTGGGGCAAGAAAACCATTCAGTACGCCTTCTCTTTTTCAATGATTCTCTGGTTCACATTTGGTTTTCGAGGAAATCTTATTGGGTTTTTTTTATATTCCTTTGGTTTGGGAGTGGAACATAGAGGTTTTAACAACACGCCTTCAATTTTTACTTTTTTCTGCTATCCTCTTCAGCTTGGAGCACGATTGTCCACAATCTGTCATCTCCTCCTCCTCCTCCTCCTCAGACGACCTCTTCCATGCCACTCTCACATCAACGACCCATTCGTTGCTTCTCATTAAGATTCCACTCAAGCAATGGTGTGCATTGAGCACGATGTCATTCGAAAGCCTCCTCAACGTATACCCGATCAATCGATTTCCATTTTCTTCTGCATATTTGTTGAGAAATCGGCTTTTCGTTGGTTAGTTTGTTCACACCCGGAGTTTTTTGTTATTAGTTCTTTCTGATGGGCTGACCGTTTGATCTTCAGTAGGTAGCCAGCCAGCAAAGTGGACAGGTGTAGATAAAAGTCTGCAGTAGCCTGTTTGAAATCCTTTTGAAAACACATTTAGATCCCAATATGAATTTAAAACAAGCAACAAGGCAGGTTAATAAAGCAAGATTTCTCGAAAAATACCCATTTATTCATAAGTAAAAACACAGTCTTTTTTGTTCAGCGAAGAAATTTTTTTTCAACGACTTCATTTTCAAGCCAACTGTACAGTCGTATTTATATTACAGAAAAAGGTTATTAAGTGGTTCTAAATAATTACTCAGTCAATGTACGTATATATCTGATAAAAGTAACGATAATTACAATGTTAAAAAAGGATAGAGTTGAAGACGATAAATTACAAAATTATTAAAGATTGTTTTATAAGTGAATCGATATCAAAAATGTCAAGTGTTGTCTAAAAATTTTGAAAATTAGGAGTACGATTACGATAAGAATGAAGACGTGAAGTGAAGTGGAAAGAATTCAAGTGGTAAAATAAAATAAAAACTTGAAAGAACATTACTATGACCAAGGTAAAGAAAGGGGTTTGACAAAACGCTTTTGAACGCATAATTTAGGTTTCTGTTCATGTATAGCTAAAGCTTCTACCATGCATAATTGAAAAAAACGTTAACTTTTGGATCGATTCGATTTTGCCATGTAGATAACTTTGAAAGATGAATCACGTGGGGCTAAATGACCAGACTCTAACAGGTGATCACAAATAGACGACTTTGCAGTTCTACGTTCACCTTTCATTAACCAAACCGGATAGTGTTATCAAGCTGTAAATCAAAATAAAAAAATAAAATAAAAATAAGTGTTCAGCTACACGTTTTCGGAGATTACGCTTACAACGTCCAATATAAACAGCTCCACAAGAGCAGGTAAAAGAGTAAATGCACGTAGATGTGGACAAAAGCGGTAATCTATCCTTGACGCATTGTCTAATCATATTTCGGCTGGTAAAAACTAGTTGCAGGTCAGCTGAAGGAGAAGTGCGTTTAACACATTTAGATAAACGATTTTTAATCAATTCTGAAATGGTGTCACCGTTGAATGCAAGACTCATAAACAGTTTTTTCTTTGGTACTGTGACTTGTCTAGGGGCGGATTCTTTCTTGATGTTAAGTTCAATGAACCTCATGGGATAACCACTGTTAAGGAGATTTGATCGAAGGTTATCCTAGTTCCCTATCGATTGTCTCTGCAGAGCAGATTTAACGAAATCTGGAGCATCAGGAATGAATGAGATTTCTCTTTCTCCCTAAAGGTACCCAACTGTTGAAGTTAGTGTACTGCCCAGTGAATGTTGGCTTTCGGTAAATCGACCTTAGCAGCGTTCCATTCTCTCTTCTATCTAGCTTAACAACAAGGAAGTGAAACGAAGAATTCGATTCTTCTTCGATCGTGAAAGGCAAAGATGAGTGAGGACCATTAAATATTCTAAGAAGTTCGGAAGTTGAAGAGTTTTCATCACATACAATGAAGGTATCATCAACATATCTTTTATACATAAACAAACTATCGATGGTTTCCTTTAGTGGGCCATTCTCTAAGCTTGTCATGAAGACATCCGCTAAGAGCGGTCCTAAAAGAGACCCCATGGCGACTCCATCCCTTTGGTTGTAGATGACATCAATAAATCTAAATTGCACATTCAATGTGCATCTCAATAACAGTTGTTTAAGATAATCAGTTGGTAAGCCATTGTTCATGCTATTTGAATCAATATACTCGCATAGATAGCAGATAGTGTCTACTAGTGGTACATTTATGAACAATGAACAAATATCTAACGAAATCATATGCTTACCAGTCACATTAATTTCATCAACACAACTGACGAAGTCAAAAGTGTCGGAAAGACTATGTTTACATAGATTTAATCTAACTGGTTCCAGAATTTCCGCAGGCCATTTAGTGGTAGAGTCGTTGAAGTCGTTGGAAAGCAGGATTTAATGATGGATTCACCAAATTTCAGTAGAACTCGTCAGTTGCTCAGTACTCTACATACACGGATATATGCATACTTTTGAAATTACATTAGGAGATATAAGACTGATAAGTAAACAAACTACATTGAATTAGTCATGACGAAACACAGGTAAGAATGTTTTCCAGGTCATGTTCAAATAGATAAGGGGAGAGAGAGTATGAGAGAGATTAATATTAAGATGGATTGCATTACGCTTCAATTGCATCACTTAGATAAACAATTAGGCATTAGAAAATAAACATAACGAGAATCGTTAACAGACTAATATCAATAGTAATAGTTATAGTAACAATAATAATAATAATAATAATAATAATAGTGTTGAAGTAAGTTAAGATAATGCTACTGATAAAGGATAGTTTTAAATGAATCAAGAATAATAATAATAAGAGATAGAACAATAAGTAAAACGTATTACCATGGTAGATTCAGAGTCACGACCATCTCCTTACTTACACAAAGACCTGGTTTATAAACACGAATTGCATAAGCCTCTGCAATTGCAAGCATCTTCCTGTTTCTCTGTCTGCTGACAGTAGTGAATGACTTGACCGCGTCGATATCATGTCCGTAGTCCACAAGATGTTTTGTTATTGAGGATTTTGGCACTTTGCACTCAGCTGTTTTCAACCATTTCGGCAAACGCTCCATCATGCGAGTAGATAATCGCCTTTCCGTACGACCTATGTATTTGCGTCCCTCCACAAACACACTCGAATTGGTATACGCAGTTTGAAGTGTCGAGGATTGGCGACTGGTCTTTCCCAGACTGTTGAAGCACTCGCTTAGCGGTGTTAAGGAAAACAAGTTTTGCAGCATAATAAGTTCTCTTGTTCCTTCTCCTGACGTTCTAGTCAAGTTTCTGACCCGTATAGAAGAAGTGACTGACCGACTTCACATTGGTGCTGTAAATCCAAATATCAATAAAACGTCCGTGGCACAGTGGTTAAAACACTCGCCGACCATGCACATGGTCCGAGGTTCGATCTCTTGCCGACGCACACCTGATATCCATGGTTGGCCTGCGAAATT